TGAACCGGCCGCCTCAAGAAACAAGGGTGCATGGCCGCGTATGCCTGGCAGTCTGGCACACAGCGGACGTTTCGTTAACAGCAGAACCGAGCCAACCGAGCCACCCAAGCCGGTGCCGATGTCTGCCTTGTGTAAGCGTGCAGGTGTTTGTGATCCAGGACCCACGCGGGCTCTGCTGTCCTCAGCGCATGGCGTCCGTGTGGGGGTCCAAGGTGGCCGCGCCCCTGCAGCCTGGAGAAGGGAACGGGCAAGGGGCGAGCCAGTCACCACATGTACATGTCACCTCTGCTCAGGTGCCGCCACCTGGGCTGCTCAGTGGCCTTGCCCAGCTGCCTGCCGGGCAAGACTGGTATCTGGCTGGGAAGTGGACCCCCAGCTAACGTGGGGGAGGCCTGATTTGGGCACAGCGGGCAGTCCCCTGGAAGGAGACCCCTCCAGATGGTGGCCCCTGCAGAGGGCAAGGAGGGAGGGGTGGGGAGCACGTGGTGGATGTCTGTGGTTCTGGTCCCAATTTCTTTAAAAAGATCTCAAGTCAGTGCAGAGAACATTTGTTAGTTCTTGTCGGATACGTGGGTTTTGGTGGCATCCCTCTTTGTGGTTTTTTTCTGTAAGCCCCACACTTCTAGGTTTCAGAAAACCAGAACACTGCTTCTCCAGGGTTAGGCATGGAAGTTGGCTTTCCACTCTTTTGAGCAGACACCATCCGAGAGGAACAAGAGAGCACGCAGTGTGGGGCCAGGGCCCCTCGGACAGGATACTGGGTTTCTGCCTGTCGAGGGGATTGTGTTTTATCCTGACAGTGTGTTTAAGATACGCTTGGCTTCCTTTTTTGTTACTGCTGAGTCTAGTACAATTGCAGGGTGTCTTACACAGTAACAGTCCCGGCTTAGTGATGAATCATCGTTTGTGGGGTTTTTTTAGTGTATTTGCTCATGATTTCCTTGAGGGCCAGGTATTATGCAATAAATCTTGTCCATGGCTATAATCTATACTCCAGCCCTCAGGCCTTTCTCTCAGAGCCAGTCTTGTATAAAAACAAATATCGTGTGTTCTGTCTGGCCCAGTCTCTGTATGCAAATGATTCTTTTTATGCTTTTAGTTGTTTGTACAAATAGCATCAACTTGACTGTGTCTTAGAATTAAAGAAAAGAAAAAGAGAAAACAAGGAAAGGAAAATCCAAATGGCTCGGAGGTGTTGGTCCCATCCTACGGGAGACACGACTGTGAAGAAGTAAGCGGGCCGGTGCTGGTTTAGATGGGCTCTCTGCAGCTGCAAGCTCACCTCTAGGAGGCTGCCGGAGCAGAGACCCTTCCCTTCCGACGGAGCCCGTGGCTCTGCTCATGGCCTCGAGTTTTCCCTGTGACGAGGACACGTCAGCGTGGGGGTGCCACTGTGCTTCCCAGACAGAAGCCTCTCTGAGCCGTGGGCAGCAAATGCCGGACCGACCCCGGCCCCTGCCCAAACAGATTGTCTAGAAACAGGCATCGCAACGGCCCTGAGAGCGAGACCCCATCCCAAATGAGGGCTATGCAAGCATTCCTGGTAATTAGTTTATTAAAAGCAGGATCCAGACAACGCCTCCTGTTTGCAATTGGCCGATATATCCCTTAGGTCTTGTGGCTTTTTTAGCTTTTGAAAAATAACTTTAAAACTCACAGTAAAATTCAGCCTGCCCCCGTGTTTGCCTACAGCCCAGACTTGCCCGTTGCCCCCAACCAGGCTCAGAACAGTGGACGGACCCAGATCCAGCATCCCCACGCAGCCTCGGCTGTCAGCACTCCTGCACTGCTGATGCGTGCTCTCCAGAACGCCGCGTTAGTGGGCTAACGTGCAGGGCCCAGCCTTTTGGCCCTGGCTTCTCTTCCCGTGTGGGGGGCTGGTGCGGGCACCTGTGTGTGCATGCACGCGTGGGGAGTGTGTGTGCGTGCGCATGTGGGTGTGTCTGGTGTGCGTATTTGTGTGCACGTGTGTGTCTCTGCACACGTGCGTGTCCGTGTGTGCATGTCTGTGTCGATGCTTTGGCCCTCTTGTCCCCGAGCAGGCTTCCTGCTTTGCTTGAAGGGTGTCTCCAGGCTTGGGCAGCTGCACACGCAGCCACCGTGAGTGTCCACGTAGAGTCTGCGTGGACACACGCACGGAGCAGTGCTGGTCTGGGTGGCACATGTGTGACCACATCTAGTGCCCATCACCCGCCTCCTTGCCAGCACTGGGTGTCAGGCTTTTGGTGTTTGGTTTCGTTTTAGCCACGGCCATTGGTGTGAGGTGGTGACTCCTGACTCCTGGTGGTTTTCAGTTGCATCTTTTCATGTGCTAATTTACTGCCCATATGTCTTTTAGTGAAGTGTTTGCAAATCTTCTGCCTATTTTTAAATTGGGTTCTTTATTATCCTGTTGTTGAGTTTGGAGGGTTCTTTATTCTGGATTAAACCCTCTGTCGGATATGCAGTTTGCAAGTATTTTCTCCCAGCCTTAGCTACTCTGCCTTCTTTCACGAAATTTTGATGAAGTCCAGTTTACCCGACTTCCTGTTTCTGTTCCTGACCTCCCTGCCTTTGCCCCGGGAGCACCACACTGCCCTGAGTACTCAGCTCCACACGGATCTGGACGGCCCCCACCTTCCTTGGGTCTCCTTTTCAAAGTCCTTTCGATTATCCAATTCCTTTGCCATTCCATATAAACTTAAAAACCAGCTTATTGATACCTACAAAAACGTTGTGCTGGGATTTCCGGGAACTAAACCTTAGATCTGGTCTGGGGAGTGCTAATGCCCATGCGGCGGCTCATCTCTCCACCCGCTCAACCCTTTGCTGGCTCCTTCCACTCACTTGCAGATCCTGCACTTACCTTGTTAAATTTAGATATTTTCTTTGTTTTGGAGTTACTATAAATGGAAGTTTTAAAAAACTGACTTTGGGATGCCTGGTGGCTCAGTCGGTTAAGCGCCTGCCTTCGGCTCAGGTCATGATCCCGGGGTCCGGGGATCGAGTCCCACATCAGGCTCCTTGCTCAGCAGGGAGTCTGCTTCTCCCTCTGCCTCTGCTGCTCCCCCTGCTTGTGCTTTGCCTCTGTCTCTGACAAATAAATAAATAAAATCTTAAAAAAAAAAAACTGACTTCTAATCATTCATTGCTAGTGTGTACAAATGGGACCACTTTTTATGTCGAATTTGTATCAGATGATCTTGCAAGGCTCTTAGTTCTGGGGGCTTGCTTTCACATTTTTCCACATTCCTTGGGGTTTTCTGCATAAACTACTGTGTTGTCTGCAAAGAAGAGCTGCGTTTTTCCTTTCCAGTCCTTGTGCCTTTTATCTCCTTTTCTTGCCTTATTGCACAGGGCAAGCCTTTGGTTCTGTGCCATGCCGCAGGGGTGTGAGGGTGCGGCTCAGCCTCCTGGTCTCGGTGGGGGTTTCCATCCTGCCGCCAGCATGATGTTGGCCATTCAGGACGTTGTCTTCTGTCCCTGGTTCGCCAAGAGTTTTAATCACAAATGCAATTAAATTTTGTCAAGTTTTTAAAAATCATTTGAGGAGATTTTATGATTTTTCTAATTTAGCCTGTTGATGGGGTGAATTTCACTGACTGATTTCAAATGTTGACCAGCCTGGAACAAACCGCGCTTGGTCATGGTGTATTAGTCATTCCTTTTTATATATGATGAATTCAGTTTGCTGATATTTTATTGAAGATCTTTACATTTATATTCATAGAGGGATATTGGTCTGTAGTTTCCTTTTATGTACGTTGTTGTCTGGTGTTGGTATGGGTAATTCCTGACCTCATAAAATGAGTTGAGAAGTATTTCTCCCTTTTCTGTTTTCTGGAAGATATTATGTAGAATTAGTGTTGTTTCATCCTTTGATATCTGGGTGAATCCACCTGGAGCTTTCTTTTTCAGACGGTTTTAAACTATTCAATTTCTTTGATAGATTAGGCTGTTCAGATGATCTGTTCATCCTGGTGCTTCTGCGGTTGTGGTGCTTCTGGTGATTGTGGCTGGGGCATTGTTACATGTTGATACATATACATACATATACATACATTGTATCCAACTCCCAGCCTGACCTGCCCCAGCTGTCTGCAGCTTCCCCCTCTGTGTGAACTGTGTGATCTTCCTTCTTTCATTCCTGATATGGCTCATTTTGTCCTCTCTTCTTTCTTTCTTTGTTGGGCTAGAGGTTTTATCAGTTTTATTGCTCTTCCCAAAGAACCAGTTTTGGGGTTTTTTAATACTTTATTTCGTATTTTCTTTCTCTGTTGATTTTCTATCTTCCGTTTCATGGTTTCTGTTTTTGTCTTTGTTGCTCCCTTGCTCCACTCACTTTGGGTTCAGTTTGCTCCTTTCCTGGTGTCTTGAGGTGAAGCTCAGACTGTGCACTTGAGGCCTTTCTTACTTTCTTGTATGAGTGCATCTCCCACGGGGCTCGAATCCACACAAAATATTTCTGGATCCTTGGAGTTTTCCTCCTGGGCCCGTGTGCTGCTTACTGTCCCGAGTGGTTGGTGTTTCTGGCCTTTTGTCTACTATTGATTTCTTTTTGTTTATTTGTTTTAAGTAGGCTCCACACCCAATGTGGGGTTCGAACTCATGACCCCGAGATCAAGAGTCACGTGCTGAGAGAGCCAGCCAGGCGCCCCTCTACCATTGATTTCTAGCTGAGTCTATTGTGGTCAGAGAACATACTTTACACGACTTCAGTTCTTTCTTTTTTTTAATATTTTATTTATTAGAGAGAGAAAGCACAAGCAGGGGGAGGGGCAGAGGCAGAGGGAGAAGCAGGCTCCCCGCTGAGCAGGAAGCCCGATGCGGGGCTCAATCCCAGGACCGTGGGATCATGACCTGAGCCTAAGGCAGACGCTTAACCGCCTGAGCCACCCACGCGCCCCATGACTTGAGTTCTTTTAAGCATGCTGGTGCTCTTTTGTGGCCGGGACGTGGTTGGTCCCGGTGGATGCTAGCCCCTGGAACCCACGTCTTTCTCCATTTTCTTTCCTTCGCAGTTTGTTTCCTGCAGTCAGAGTGGCCTGATGGGCAGAGTGCGCTGGCCTTCCCTTGGGCTCCCGCATGTCAGCGGCTGTCAGGAACAACCCCATTTGCCCCCAGCCTGGAGCTGTCCTGCTGCCTGAGTCAGGGGCCCTGCTGCCAGGGGAAGCCCTCGTGTCTGTCTCCTGGCTCATCACCATCATCCTCCATGTGCCCTGAGGGCCGCACTGTGACAGGCTGGCCGTAGGCCCAGGATGGGAGTCGGAGCTTTGTGTCGGTCTTAGTTTATAAAGGTGACTGAGTGACGGTGCAGAGAGGTCAGTGCCATTGAGAGGAGAGTTTAATGTTCACCGTCCCCTAGAAACAGGAGGCACCGTACATGGGGCCACGGGGAAGCACCAGGGTCAGTCAGGAGGCAGAGGGACTGTGGGCGAGGCCCAGACCACAGCCTTTACTGGGGTTTCCGTGGGAAAGGTGCAGCGTGGCAGGGCAAATGGCTTAGGATTGGCTAGTTGGAGTCATTCCGGTGGACCTTGAGGCACAAGGTCCCAGGGGCTGCCCCTAGTTGTCTGCTTCCTGGGCCTGGGTGTGTAGGGCAGGGAGATATTAGGTTGGTGCTGAGGGTTGGATAAGGAGGGGTTCACAGTATGGGCTCTGGATCCAGGGAAGATTTAAACAGTTTTGGCTGTCAGTTGGCCCTATAATTAATGGATGTCAAATAGACAAATACAGAATCTAATAAAACACAAAACAGTAGGGTCTTCATTTCATGCCCAGAATGGCAATGGGGTCTCTGCTCCATGCCCAGGATGGTGGTGGGGTCTCCATATGAAGCCCAGGATGGTGGTGGGTGTCTGTGCTCCATGCCCAGGAGGGTGGTGGGGTCTTCATATGAAGCCTAGGATGGTGGTGGGTGTGTCCATATGAAGCCCAGGATGGTGGTGGGTGTCTCTGCTCCATGCCCAGGATGGTGGTGGGGTCTCCATATGAAGCCCAGGATGGTGGTGGGTGTCTCTGCTCCATGCCCAGGACGGTAGTGGGTTCTCCATATGAAGCCCAGGATGGTGGTGGGTGTCTCTGCTCCATGCCCAGGATGGTGGTGGGGTCTCCATACGAAGCCCAGGATGGTGGTGGGTGTCTCTGCTCCATGCCCAGGATGGTGGTGGGGTCTCCATACGAAGCCCAGGATGGTGGTGGGTGTCTCTGTTCCATGGGTGGCTGGCAGGTGGTCACAGAGCCTGTGAAACTTTCCAAAGCCACACTGTCGACCAGACCCAGGCCCTATATCCAGACCTGAGCTCCCCGGCCTCAGCCTGTCACTCCCTGCTGCCTGGATGTAGAAATGTGAGTTGAGGGGGCCCGGGGTCTTCCTTCTGGCGCCCCTGTCCCCGTGCTTCCTCTGAGGCAGACACAGAGGAGTGTAGAGTCTCCGGTCAGGAAATGGGCCACTCCCGCTGTCCCCACCACGTCAGCGTCTGTCCTGCTGCTTGCGGTGTAGGTGGGCATGGAGAGTGTGGCGTCCCAAGTAGGACCTGTATGACGCCAACACAGGTTTGGCGACCTGCTCTTGGCGCTTGGAGCTGTGTGGGCGGGCAGCGGAAAGTGGAGCGCTGACCGCCATGTGGCAGCGCTGTCCCCGTGAACAGCGGGCTGACGTCTGAGCGGGAAAATAAGCCAGGGCTTCAAGTTGCTGCAGAGCCGTCCCGGTTGATCTCGGTGTTGCACCCCCACACCCCCGGAGCGCGTCTGCCTGGGCTCCTTGGTGGGGTGGTTCTGCTGCTTCCGGGAAGGTAAAGCTTCGTGCAGCTAAATGGTCCTGCAGGCCAGGATTGCAAGACAGGCCCAGCAGGAGGGGGAGGTTCCCCGCTGGAGGACCAGGACCGGAGGACCGGAGGACCATGGGGGACACAGGACCCCTTCCCTAGGCAGGGCCCACACGCCCTGCCTCCACCCCACACTCAGAGTGGTGAACCCAGTGTGAGGGTTCAGGGAAAGCTCACCGTGGGCTCGGGGACATGGGCACTGGGGGGGCAGGTGTGTGCAGTGGGCCACCAGAGGTGGTGGTGGTGTCTCCGGGGACCCTGCGGAGGTGGGGGGCAGGGCAGGTGGGGACCGGGCCTGAGACCCCACACTGGTGTGGGGACAGGGTGGAGGTGAGGGGCTTGGGCCTGGGGTGGGGCCTGCAGAGGCCTGTGCTCTGGGAGCTGGGAGTGGAGCTCGGTAGCTGGCACCTGGTCCCTGGGGGCTCCTGGTCTGCATGCCCTTGTCTGGGCTGCCTGCCCACAGACCTGCACTGAGCTTCCCCCACAGGTGGGAGACCCACCCTCTGGGGCCCTCTGGAGCAAGGGGATGCTGAGTGGCATCCACCACCGCAGGGACTCTTGAGGGGCCCCTGAGCCTAGCTGAGGGCCTCCAGGAGGTGTGAGGGCCTTGTCTGAGGCTGGAGCTCCTGAGGGTGGGGCCTTCCTAGGGCTGGAGGCGGTGTGGGAAGGTGTGGTCCACACTGAGCAGGCCTTTGCCCTCTGCAGGTTGTGCAGCCTGACCTTGAAGAAGCTGGTGGTGTTCAAGGAGCTGGAGAAGGAGCTCATCTCGGTGGTGATTGCTGTCAAGATGCAGGTGAGGGTCCCCTCGGCCGCTGTCCCGGGGCAGTGAGTGCAGGGTGTCCGTGCCTGCCTGGGGGTGCGAGTGGGCACAGCCACACCAACCGCTGGACCCTTACCTGTGCAGGGGGCCAGGGAGCCTGCTTCCGCCCCAGCACGCAGGGGAGCCTCTGCCAGGGCTGGTTGACCTGGAAGATGGTCCTAAAGGTCTGGCAGGATCGGGTCCCCCCAGCACACCCAGGACACAGTCCCGTCCGATGAAGGGCAGGCAGCCCAGTGTTCGGAATGTGGGGAGAAGGGAGTGTGTGCAGGTCACTGGCAGATGGGCCCATGCAGAGCAGAACTGTGGTGCAGACCCTCCCTGCCCCCACCGCGCGCACCCAGCGCACCCTTCTCTGCCGGCCCCTGACCCAGCGCCAGCCCAGCCGTGCACACGTCTCCTCCCATACGCTCCCGGACCTTGCAGGTTCCTGCCTTGGAACAAATAGCAGTGTTTCAGGAGGGCCTGACCCGCGCCCCCCCCACCCCCCCCACCTCCCCACCCCCCGCCCCGCAAGGGGACAGCGGCCCCTCCCTCCCCCAGGGCACCGGCTCCTCCACGTGTGGCTGGGTCCTTGCGATGGCCCCCACAGCTGAGCCGTGGGAGGTATCAGCGCCTGGCCTGCCAGCACCCCAGACCGTCAGCCCCTCGGGACCGAGATCTTGCTCCACCCTCAGCCCCAGGCTCTGGAGCCCACGTTCAGGGGCCGCGGGGGTGCCAGGGGCCCGGCCTGGGGCTCTCAGGGCAGGCTCACCAGGGCTTGCTGGCTTGCGCATCTCCGGGCCATCAAGCCAGGCTCTCTCCAGGCTGAGAGCTCAGGGCCGAGTTCAAGGAGGCCTGAGGCCCGTCTTTAGTTTCCCCGTCTGTTGCCACCATCTTTTAAGTAAAGATCTGGAGAAACCCTTTTCCTCCCTGAAGATGCTGCTGTAACTTATCATCAAAGCCAGGCATGTGGGGCTGCGAGCCAGTGCCACGGGGACGTGCCCACGGGGGGCCAGGCTTTCCCGGGGCCCGGGGCCCGGGCTTTGCTCCGCGCGGGGAGGGCTCTAGAGCAAGGTGGAGCCCACCCATCCCGGACCCCTGAATCTGCCACCGTTGACCTCTTACACGGCTGCCCCCGACCCCGGCCCATTCCTGGAGCCCTGCCCCAGACCCCACCATCTCCGAGACTCAGGCTCTGGGACCCACGTCACCTTTCCAGCTGACCCGGGTGCCCCCTTCACTGGCTGCCCGTTCCCGTGTGCCCCCACAAGCTCAGCATCCACCCAGGTGCCTGGCCCATCCTGCAGGCCCCCCCTGGGCGTCGCCCTCTGTTTGGGTCAGTTGCCGCCCACCTGCTGTGCCCCTGCATGGGGGGGGGCAGGGCAAGTCTGGAGGAGTCAGCCCCCAGCCGGGCCGTCTCCCTCCACCCGTTCTCCCCGAGACACGAGACACAAGATGCTGCGCTCCTGTGTCGTCAGCAGCCCCTCCTCTGAGCTGAGGCCTTGCATCTTCGCTCCCAGAGGGAGCGGGCCTGCCGGCCTTCCCCACCGGCCCCAGCCTGCTCGCCTGTGCTCGCTGCCCTCTTTCACCCGGCAGAGGCCAGTCAGCTCAGGTCTCCTGAGGGATCTGGTGTGGAAGAGGCCTGGGGGCCACGGCCAGACCCCGCACAGGGTGCCATGTGGCCCAGAGGGCGTCCACCGGGCGGTGCCGCAGGATGCCCGAGTAGAGCCAGCCCCGCACCTGTGCCCAGGACCCCTGCCCGTCACCCCCGTCAGCCCGCACGTCTGTGCTGTCTCTGTCCTAGACCCACACCCCAGTCCTGCCCTCAGCCTCTTCTCTGCACCCTCATCTTGTCGGACACCTCCCGAGCCCCCAGCCCTGCACCCTGGTGGCCACTGGTCTTTGTGGCTCTGAGTCCGACGGCTGTCGGTGCCCCGCTCGCAGGGGGCCACATGGTGTCCGTCCCGTGGCTTCCTGCCCCCAGCCTTCAGTCTCCGCTCCGTGCATGTGGGGACAGCCGTTTTTAAAACAGTACTATGAGGAAATCTTTAATCCATTTGGGATTTATTTTGGTATAGGATTTGAGGTGAGGATCTGGACGTTTTATACGAATGATTTGTTACTCACTATTTCCTGGTGACGTGAAGGCTCATTATTATGCAGCACGTTTGTCTGTGTGTTCTCAGATGTATTTCTCGACTTCACGTCTCTGTCGCTGACACAGAGCACCTGTTACACCCGTGTACCACGTTTTGCTTTCTGGGGAGGCCATCACCCCTCACTGGTCCACTTTTTCAGAAATGCTTAGCATCTAGCACACCGGTTCTTCCAGGCATTGTTCCGTGACCCCCCTGCACCCCAGCATTGCCCTGTGACCCCAAGCATTGTCCTGTGACCCCCCGCACCCCAGCATTGTCCTGTGACCCCCACGCACCCTAGCATTGCCCTGTGACCCCCAGCATTGCCCTGTGACCCCAAGCATTGTCCTATGACCCCCCACACCCTGGCATTGTCCCGTGACCCCCACGCACCCTAGCATTGCCCTGTGACCCCAAGCATTGTCCTGTGACCCCAAACATTGTCCCGTGACCCCCCTGCACCCCAGCATTGCCCTGTGACCCCAAGCATTGTCCTGTGACCCCCCGCACCCCAGCATTGTCCTGTGACCCCCACGCACCCTAGCATTGCCCTGTGACCCCCAGCATTGCCCTGTGACCCCAAGCATTGTCCTATGACCCCCCACACCCTGGCATTGTCCCGTGACCCCCACGCACCCTAGCATTGCCCTGTGACCCCAAGCATTGTCCTGTGACCCCAAACATTGTCCCGTGACCCCCCTGCACCCCAGCATTGCCCTGTGACCCCAAGCATTGTCCTGTGACCCTCCCCGCACCCCGGCATTGTCCCGTGACCCCCCTGCACCCCAGCATTGCCCTGTGACCCCAAGCATTGTCCTGTGACCCCCCACACCCTGGCATTGTCCCGTGACCCCCACACCCCACTGCTGCATTTTTGGTAGTTACTTTAAATGTGGCAGTGAGTAATCTGGATCATCTAGGGGAGAACTAGAGGGTGACAGGATGGGGACGTTTCTAAGGCTCTTGACAAACCTCCCCAAGGGTGCGTTTGGGAATCCCGTGAGCTTATGCCTCCCACTGCCTGGTCTGTGGCTCTTCACGTGAGAGTCTGAGGGCAGTGGGTTTCACGGTGAGATGCCCCCTTGTGAATGAGCAGCCGTTTTGTTCTGTCCCAGGGCTCCAAACGGATCCTGCGGTCCCATGAGATTGTGCTGCCCCCCAGCGGACAAGTGGAGACCGACCTGGCGCTGACCTTCTCTCTGCAGGTGGGCCTGGCACGTGGGCAGGGGGCAGCGGCCCACCTTGCAGGGATGTTCTCCCCCAGTGTGCTGTCCTCCGAAATGTTAGAAGACGTGCGTGCTTTATTAGATCGCATTTTCCCTCCCGGTCCTGTGCTAAAGAATGTAGTGAGGCCCAAGCTCACTCTCAGAAAGTCGTTTTGGGGATGCCGGGCTGGCTCAGTCGGGAAAGCGTGTGACTCTTGACCTCGGGGTGGTGAGTTCGAGCCCCACATGGGGTGTAGAGATTACTTAAATAAGTAAATAAACAAACCCGAGAAAAAAGGCCATTTGGCTCCAGTGTTCAGAGAAGATGGGGAGGAACAGGGGACCTCAGTTTTGTAAGTTCTGACCCCTTTGAAGTACGTTAGGTGCCCCCTGCTTGCCCCACAGCATGAAGCAGAACCTCCTCCCCACGGACCCTCCAGAGCCCAGGTCTGTGGGTGGGAGCAGGCTGGCCCCAACCCACCCGCAGGGCGCTCATCCTGCCTCCGTTCCTCTTCGCACAGTTGTTTAAGGTGGGTGCTGTGCAGATTCGCAGACGTGCGTAACACACTGGGCTTAGCGTCGGCCTGGCTGTGCCCGGGGCGGGGGCACGTGACCCCAGCTCCGGCATCCCCTGCGGGGGCTTCTGGGGTCTGCGTGGAAGTTTTCTTTTGTGGGACCCGCTTTATCGGAGTGCGGCTTCCAAGACGTGCAGTTCGCGGTCTTTAAGCGCTGGCCAGCCGGGCACAGGCGTGCGGCTTCTGTGAGGTTAAGGGACGCGCTTGCGAGCCTCTGTTGGTGCACACGAGCCCTGCTCTCGCAGAAGCCCCCGTGGTGCTCTGATGGGCCACTGGACCAGCGCCACCTCGGGGTCACGCCCCTGCCGTCCGCGTCGTGGGCAGGGTCTCTGGCTGACCCCGCTGATGACCCAGAGGCCCTGGCCAGCTGCTCACGTCTGCCGGCAGTGGCTTTTCCCGTGTCCCCGACGGAGGCCCCCGGCGGCCCGGCGAGGAGCGAGCCTCCGGGCTCGTCGGTGCTGCGCTGGTGTGGCCACGGGGACAGACGGCAGCCTTGACCCCTTCTCTGCAGTACCCTCACTTCCTGAAGAGAGAAGGCAACAAGCTGCAGATCATGCTGCAGCGGAGAAAGCGCTACAAAAACCGAACGATCTTGGGCTACAAAACGCTGGCGGCGGGCTCCATCAACATGGCCGAGGTGAGCGTGTCCCCGCTCAGCCAGAGGCCCCCGTCGGGCCTCACCTGACGGCCTGTGGGTTCTGCCCAGCGTGGGTCCGTCCCGTGCCCCCCAGGGAGCGCGTCCTCCTGGGACACCCGCGTCCCCTTCCGTGGGCGCTGGCCCTGGCCCGTGGGCTGCCTAGGCGGGCGGCACGTGCTTGCTGTGGGGTGGGGGCGCGGGCTGTGAGCGTAAGGAAGTTCCCTGGTGAGGCGAGGAGGGGACCTTCATGCAAACGGAACTGACCAGCCGGCACCACCGTGTCTCGGAGGACCTGCCGTCCCGAGCTGTGGTTGGCAGCCAAGGCCCCTCGTGTCCTTTGTGCTTCGGGGCCGTCCCCGTCACGGGGTCGCGCTCAGGGCTGTCCAGGAACTGTGATGCTCAGGAACGCGGAGCTGTGTTTGTGCCCACCTGGGGCAGGGCAAGGCTGCCCCCACACCCCTCAGCCCTGCTCCTCTGGCCCAGGACCCCCATGCCCATGGCACCTGGTCAAGCCTGCAGGCCTCCTGCTTCCCCTCAAACCCTGCCTGCCTGATACTCCCAACAAGCGCCCTTTAGGCCGGTGGCACAGGTGTGGAGGGCGTGAGGAGGAAGACGGTGCACCTGCCTGTCCAGCTCTGCCTGTGCGTGGAGCCTTCCTAATTTGGTCTCTGAGATGGTAGCAGTCGCGGATGTTACCTTTCTCAAAAATTTCATTTTCGTACTCTACTCAAGGGCTGGCACCCCAAATCAGGCTCCCCAGATTAAAAATAATTGGGTCCATGAAATCCCAAAATTTGGATTTGGTCAAATGACCCCAAAGGCAGCTTGTAGGATGCAGAGGCTCCGGCCTGCAGGGGCGTCCTCGGAGTTGTCACCAGCCAGGGTGCGGGGGGGTGCGAGGGGGCGCGAAGGGGCGCGAAGGGGCGTGTGTCCCTGTCCCTGGTCTGCTTGAAATCTCTCATGACCCGAATGCCTCCAAGGACTCACCGGCCTGCTGGGTGTCGGCTCTGCCACACAAGACCCCCAGCCTGTGCAGGCGGCCGGTCCTCCTTGGTCCCCACGGACGCGGGGCCCTGGACGCAGATCCCGGGATTGGTGGCCCCGAGCCGTAGCCTCACACACAGTCTGCTCCGCGCTGCAGCCCCTGAACAGGCGGGCTCAGACCCTCCCCTCCTCGACAGCCTTCAGTCCCCAGTGGCTGAGCCTGGCGCCGGCCCCCAGAGTCTTGACCAGTGTCCTCCTGCCCTGTGGGCAGGAGGGGTGCTGCTGGGTGCTGGCCCTGCGCCTGGGCCCCTTCTAGAGCTGAGCCCTGCCCCCAGGTGATGCAGCACCCCTCCGAGGGCGGCCAGGTGCTGAGCCTCTGCAGCAGCATTAAGGAGGCGTCGGTCAAGGTGGCCGAGATCTGGGTCTTCTCCCTGTCCAGCCAGCCCATCGACCACGAGGACAGCGCCATGCAGGCGGGGCCCAAGGCCAAGTCCGCAGGTGAGTACAGCTGCAGGGGCTCCGCTTGGCTGCCTCCTGGCCCCCTTCCCGCGGGTCTGGGAAGCTGGGGAGGGACCACGAGGGTGTGCGGGTTTCCCTGGGGCTGGGTGAGCTCGCTGCGCCGGCGACATTGGGCACTCTGGGAGCCTGGGCTGCAAGCGTGCAAGCTCGGCGGTAGGCAAGAGGTCATGGGCCTGATGGTGGTGCCTTCCTGGGTCTGGGCACAGGTCCTGGCGTGGCTGTCAGCACCCTCGCGATGGCGGCCGCTGTCCCCCGGAGGTGCGGGAGGGCACGCAGGGGACCCAGTTGGGCACGCGATCCAGGCTGAAGCGCCTGAGGTCCGTAGGGGCCACCGTGGGAGCGGGAAGCACGGGCCTGCCCCCTCCCCGAAGTCTGCCTGTGGGGGCTGTGCATGGCTCCCCGCGGGTCCAGGGGCCCGTCCTCTGGCCGCCGCCTCATCGCCAGGACACCGGTCGGAACCTCGAGGTGCTCCCCCTTCCGTTTGCTCATTCCATAGATAACTACTCCGAGGAGGAGTATGAGAGCTTCTCCTCTGAGCAGGAGGCCAGTGACGATGCCGTACAAGGGCAGGTAAGCCGGGGCCCCGTGCGCAGGACCGTGAGGCCGCGTGGGCCCCCAGACGCTCGGGGTGTGGACGGCCAGGGACCCCTGAGCTGCCGGCATGAGGGCGGCGCCGAGAGGGGGGTGGAGGCTGGGAGCTGGCCCCCTGCGTGTGCCCCGGGGCCCTGCTGCACGCCCACAGGTGCTCTGGGGGTGCCCTCTGCCAGTCCCTGTGCTTGTCTCCCCAGGACTTGGACGAGGAGGACTTCGATGTGGGGAAACCCAAGAAGCAGCGGCGATCGATAGTAAGAACGGCATCCATGACCAGGGTCGGTGGAAACTGGTTTTACTAACACTGGGGAAGGGCGGGGTTGGGGGGCTGGGGCCCCAGATTGGGCATCGGGACGGGAGGCGGCCGTCTCGGGGACCCCCCCACCGTGGCCTGGCTCTGCTGGCTTCTCCTGAGGCCCAGCCTCTTTGTGGGGCATGAAGGCAGGGAGACCCCACGGCCTTGTGCTGGCGGGTGGGTTACGAGGTGCTGGTCATCGACCCGGGAAGCTTCACCGGCGGGGTCCTCGTGCTCATCCCAGACGGCAGGGAGGAGGTGGGACAACGGCCGTCCTGTTCAGGCTGCTCCACGAGCAGAGCTGGGGAGGCTATCTGCCTCCCGCCTGTGCCCAGTTAAGCCCCTCGTTTCTGCTCAGCGTCGGGCCCACCCGGCACGGGGGCCTCCGGGCTCTGGCCATCCCGCTTCTCCTCCAGGAGGAAAGCTCCAGGTGGAGGCCTTAGCCCGTCACAGAACGCCCACCACTGGGCACAGAGCCCTGGACAGTCCCAGGGCCAAGCCGCTCCTGTGTGCGGGGCCGTGGCCCCAGGCCCGGGCTGTGCAGTGGGTGGCCCCGGAACCCTTGGGGCACAAGCCCAGCCCCAGAAACCTCTGCCCCCTCCTCTGGCAACGCTGGGAGGCCTGGGCCTGGTCCCGGTACAGTGGGTGGGGCGTGGCAGCACCTGTTTGAGCCTGGTTCGGGGCTCAGGGGCCTGACGCCTAAGGAGGGGGTGTGGGAGTCCTTTATAGGGTCACCCCCTTGAGGGGGGCTGGGGCAGCTGCCTCACTCAGTGGCCAGAGCTCAGCCTCTGAGGCCCAGGGCAGCGCTGGGCACGGTGGAGCTTGGGCTCCCTCTGAGCCCTTGCCATCCGCCTGTCCCCCGTGTGCCCAGCCCTGAGTCCCGCTGGGGTGAGCTGGTGCCTCGGGCAGGGCCAGCAGCCTTGCTCACATGGAGGGAGAGACGGCACACGCCCCCCCTCCGGCTCCTCCCCGGTCTGGTCCCAAGGCCAAGTGCAGCTGTGATGTCAAATGCTTGCAAAGGGGCTGGCGCCGTTGGCTGCCGAGAGCCGGGCTTGCGTGAGCCGTGGGGACCGTGCCTCCCTCCCGCCGAGCCTGCCCCGTCCTCCCAAGGGAAGCCGGCCCCTTGGGTTCTGATTCTGTCCTGCTTGTCTTGCAGCAACAAAACTTCAAGCAGAAGGTCGTGGCGTTGCTGCGGAGGTTCAAAGTGTCAGATGAGGTGAGTGACCCTGCCTGGACTGCCAGGCCCATGGCGTCCTGTGAGACCAGGGCTCTGGAGGCATCTGGGCCTCGTCCTGGCTCTGCCACTGACCGTCCCACCCCCGGGGCACCTCGAGGGCCAAGCCGAGGCCGCCAGCGCGTGTCTGCAGTCACAAGCCCGGGGACAGACCTGGGGGAGGCTGGATGTCATTTGGGGGTGTGACCATGCGTTTTGTGTTTTGTGTCATTCTAAGTCGAGGGTATTTGGGGGCCGTTCCCGGTTAGTTTCTGCGAGACCCTGCCGCCGCACACACAGCCCCCCATCGACACGCTCTGACCTGCAGCTTCCTTCCTTTAGCTGTTTTCCACTCTCCAAATTTGCTGGGATGGGTTTGTATACCTTTCATAACCACAAAACAATACCTCAGTTTTCCTTTTAACGTGGGCGTAAGAGAGTTGGCCCGCAGGTCCTGGATCACCCAGGAGAGGTGGCTGTAAGTGTCCACGTGTCACCGCCGCATGTGGTCATCGCTGCACGGAGGGTGACGGCCGCTCGTCCACACACGTGAAGGGTCTTGCGGGCGTGGTGGTGGCCAGGCGGCAGCTCTCCTCAGACGCTGGAGCTGGAAACAGACCCATCTCAGCCTCAGTCCCCCCAGATCCGTCCACAGCTTCTGTAGGATCCCTGTCTGAGGACCGGCTCATCCCCACTCTGCACGGAAATGCAAGGGACCCGCAGTAAACAACAGTCTTGGAAGATAACAAGGTGGAAGGACTCACACTTGCTAATTGCACAACTCTCTAAGAGGTGCAGTAATCGAGACCGCGCGAGGGATTAGCGGTCAGTTTCCAACAAGGGTACCAAGACCACTCAATGGGGGAAAGTAGGCTTTTCAGCAGAAAGTAGTAATACAGCCAGGTGTCCACACGCACGAGGACCTCACACCACGTACAGAATTAACTCCAGACGGATCAAAGACCTAAACGTAAGCGCTTACACAATGAAACTCAGGAGAGTGATCTTGGCGCCCGGGGGCCGGGCCCTGTGGCTTAGACAGGACAGCGGACGCACGAGCCGCCAGAGGGAAACTGGTAAGTCAGAGCACATCAAAACGTAAACGCCTCTGTGCTCCGAACAGCCATCAGGGAGGTGAACTGTCACGTAGACGGTGTTTGCAAATTATAGATCCCGTGAGGGACCCGTGCCCACAAGGTGGAAGGCACCCTTACAACCCCAAATAAAGAGACAATCCGGAGAGAAATCAATTGTCCAGTTCAAGAGTTGGTCAGAGGCTCAGACTAGAGGTTTTCTCTGAGGAGGGACCTGGATAGCCAGCAAGCCCCTGAGAAGCTGCAGGGCGACCTCCTGAGGCCACAGAGGGTAGCCGTGACCTCGCAGGATAGAGTGTGGGGGTGCCGACGTCAGGGGGAGCAGCCGGACCTGCAGGGCTGACGGGAACACCCCGCGGGGCGGCCGCTGCGGAAGACAGCCTGGCAGTTCCTCCAAGTGTCAACTTCACGCTTAACCAGGGTCACCCCAGTGGTCCCGTACCTGGTATCCACCCCGTGAGATCCAGGATGTCCACATGAAGACTGAGGGACAGACAGTCCCAGGAGCTTCGTCTGTGGCAGCAAAGCCTGGAGCGTCCATCCGCTGGTGGCCAGCTAGACCCAGGCCACGTTCAGGGGCAGGCGGGTGCTGACGAGGACGGCACTGGAGGCAAACAGTGTGGACGCCTCCTGATAGGCACGCCTGAGTGGGAGGAGCCCCATGCCGAGGGTGACCATTTCTATGACGTTCTGGAGGAGGCCCATGCATGGGGATGGAAGTCAGCTCAGGGTTGGGGGGAACAGTGAGCGGGGAGAGGCCTTGGGGAGGGAGGCATCCCAAGCCCTGACTGCGGTGCGGACCCGTCCCAGGTGGGCTCCCTGCCCTGCACTCCTGCCGTGCATTTCTCTGTTGAAGTAGGAGCCACGAGGGGCAGAATGGCCGTGCCGTGCTCGGCACCCGGTGACTGGAGGTCCTAGAGGTCACCCCAGCGTCTGGCAGAACTGGGCTGGTAGCACATGCCGGAGAGAGGGTGCTTGGTGGCTCCGTGCCTTCTTGCTGTCTGTCCTGCCAAGGGGACCCCCTCAGACCAGCCCTCACACGTCTGACCTCCCTATAGGTCCTGGATTCAGAGCAGGACCCTGCAGAGCATGTCCCTGAGGCAGAGGAGGACCTGGACCTTCTGTATGACACGCTGGACATGGAGAACCCCAGTGACAGTGGCCCGGACCTGGAGGACGATGACAGTGTCCTCAGCACCCCCAAACCAAAGCTCAGGTGAGCACACCCACCACCTCCCTCTGCCGCCCGGCCCCAGCAGGGGCCACAGGGTATCGTGCACTTGGGGACACGGGCTCTGGTCAGGGAGGAGGGGGTGGACGTGCATCCCAGCAGGCGGCCCAGGTTTGCGGTGTTTGTGGAGGGAAGTGACAGGGTCACGGCTACATTCTGGAAAGATCTCTCTGGAATCCACTGGGAGCATGAAGACAGGAGACCGGTTAGGAGGCATTGGGGTCGTCCCTGCAAGAGGTCGTGGTGTCAGAGGTGGAGGGGTGAGAGCTCTGGGTGGGGAAGGCAGTCTTCCCAGGGTCTCGGCTGGGCCGAGCGCGGCATCTGTCACAGGAGGCAGCCAGCAGGTGGGGGGCTGTGGGGTTCTGTGCACTGGGGACACGGGGAGCTGGGGACTGCAGAGCATCCCTGTCCTCCAGGAGCCGGGTGCCAGCCTGGCTGGGGCAGGAGAGGGCAGGAGGCCCTGGGCTTGGGGTCGGGGGAGGCTTGACCCACGGGACCGAACAGCGTGTGGCTGCCAAGTGGGGGCCATGTTGGCGTCCAGAAGATCTGTGGCATTCTGGCTTTGCTTTTAATGCTTTTTTGTGTTGTTGTTGTTTTTTTTTTAAGACAGAGAGCATGAGCGGGAATGGGGGGAGGGGCGGAGGCGGAGGCGGAGGGAGAAGCAGGCTTCCCGCTGAGCAGGGAGCCCGATGCTGGGACCCTGGGATCATGACCTGAGCCGACGCTCATCCGACCGAACCACCCAGGCGCCCCTTAACTCTTTGATATGAATCAGTGGGACAGAGATGCCCATGGGGAGGGTGGGCTTTCTGTGCAGCTGCTGACCTCCCGCCGCCCCACGTGGCCAGTCCCGTGTGGGCACGCCTGTGGCGTCCGTGGGCTCTGGTGTAGGTGTCAGTCACTGGCCTTCGCTGCAGATGCAGCTTGGGGGGTCCACTTACAGGCTCAGCGCCCCCTGTGTCTTGCCTGCGGCCCCCCCACCGGCAAAACTGACAAGGCCGTTGAGGCACCTCGGGCTTTGCCGCCTTCAGCTGGAACAGGTCTCTGCTTCTGTCGTCCATGGGGTCACCTCGGCTGCCGGCCATGGGCCAGCTGGTGCTCACAGTCCCGGGGGGGGGCTTGGGCACCTCCGGCCCTGGCCCTGCCCTCGCCTTTCCCTGTCCCTGGGGGCTCTATCACCAGACTGCCTGAGCCCCGCCCACCATTTCAGCCTGAACTGTGTTCTGAGTCTCTGAGTCTGAGCGCCGCCCCCCCGGCTGTCTGCTGGGGGCAGGGTGTTTGGCCTGCTGGCCTGGGGTCACCGGGTCCTGCTGATGGTGCCCTTGTGGCAGCCTTGAGCACGTTCCTGTGTTGCTGCGAGCTGGCCGTGGGCCTGAGGCTCCCCAGCCTTCTGCTGGTGGAGCTGCCCACCCGAGCCACCCGCCACCTTGCCCAGGGTAAAGGCCAAGAGTGGTGGGTTTCAGGGAGGCAGGTCTTATGCGGACGTCAAAGCCGGTGGAGGAGCCGAGAAGGGCGGCAGATTGCGTGGCGCTCAGCATCCTCCCCAGGGCCATGGTTCCCAGCCCTGCATGGCTGCCAGATGCCACGAGGACAGTGCCGACCCTTCAGTGGGGGGAGGGTCCTGGAGCGTGACCTCTCTCCGTCCCCACACCCAGGCCCTACTTCGAAGGGCTGTCACACTCCAGCTCGCAGACGGAAATCGGGAGCATCCACAGTGTCCGGAGCCACAAGGAGCCTCCGAGTCCCGTGAGCAGGCCAGGCCCGGCAGCCCCTCCCTCCTGGGGGGACCTCAGGCCAGGGGTGGGCCGTCCTGATCTCCCCGTCTCCCTGGGTCGCTCAGAGTGTTACTTACACTCGGTGTTACACTGTGCTCCTGGGTTTGTATGTGGCTGGAATCCCCTGCCCAATGCCACATGCCTGTCTTGGGGTGACCCTACACCCGCGGTCTAAGAAAGCCCCGGCCAGTCATCCCCGGCTGCTCCCAAGCCCAGGTCTCCCTGCCCGGAGGTGAGCCAGCCTGTGCCCACCATTGAACACATCTTGATGTCCATCTTGTCCACACAGGCCGACGTGCCTGAGAAGACTCGAGCCCTGGGAGGCAAGCAGCCAAGCGACAGCGTCTCGGACACGACCCACGTGAGCAGGCGCGGGACACGTGCATTGGGTCCAGCACAGAGCCCACTTACACACTGCCTTCAGGGCCGGCCTCGACATGGGGTCCTGAGCTCACACCTCCCGGGCCCAGTGCACAGAACCACAATGAGGGCGCCCCTGGGTTCACCCCCACCCCGAGGGACAGTCAGGGTCCGGAATCACCCTAGTTCTGGGAGGACAGGGGGTGTCCCCCTGCTTTGCTGAGCACAGGCCCCGTGAACACTATAGTTGACCCCTGTTGCCCTCATGGGGCTTCTCGAGGAAGGTGTCCTGGGCTGCAGGGCAGGTTTTAGGGAGGCTTGGGGGAGGCTTGGTGCTGGTCTCCCCTGGCAGCCAGGACCGGGAGCCCCATGGTTGGAAGCGGAGGTCAGCTCGGCTCCCCAGCGGAAGCATCTGTGCTGCATGTGGAGAGCTGTCAGCCTGAAACCAGCCTACACCCCACCCAAACCAGGGGCTCCTCGGGCCTGAGACTGGCCCCCGAGGGGAGGCTCCCGCAGGACGTGCCTACCATCGGGCCCCCTTCTCTGCATCTCAGAGCACACCTGCCCCCGGGGAGCAGCCCGCACAGCCCGAGGACAGCCCGGAGGTGGAGACCTCTGCTCTGGACGTGTTCACCGAGAAGCTGCCGCCCAGCGGGCGGATCACCAAGACGGAGTCCCTCGTCATCCCCTCCACCAGGTGACAGGATGCCCTGGGGAGGCTGTCGGCCAGGCATTGCCCACATGAGCCAGTGTGGCGGGCAGGGCCCCGTGACTGGATGAGACTCACTTAGGAGCACAGAGATTTCGGGGCCTGCCCCAGAGGTCCACGTGGGACCCCACACACCCCTGTTTGTAGCTAGCTGCCAGCAGGCCTTCTGGGGCTGAGGTGTGGTCCCGGCTGCCCATCTCACGTTTTCCTGCCCCTGGCACTGTTCACTGGCACCTTATGGACCAGCGTAGCCCTGGTGCGGGAGGAGTGTGCCCAGCTGGGCCCAGAGTCCGGTGTGGTCAAGCACAGCAGCAGCCCCCGGGCAGCCTCCGGCACGGCAGCTCTGCGGGGCCAGGACCCTGCCCCTCACGGTGGGCATCACAGAGGAGGGCGTCGGGGTGGCAAGGACCTGGGCAGCTTCCCCGTGGGGGTCACTCCTGCGGCGTCTCTTACCCGCCCCCACTGCCGTCTCGGTCAGTCTGGGGGTCATCTGTGAGCCCCTCCCTGGGACGTGCTCCCCAGCCCGTCTTGTCTTCACCTTCCTTGGGCACCTGGCCGAGCTCCCAGCGCCCTCTGTACGGCCATGTGTGGCCACGGACTACCACACCCCCCAGGACCTGCGTTCCTGCCCTGAGACCTGCTAGGCTGGGGCCTTCTGCAGGCGGACAGCGGAGCCCCCTTCCTGGGGCCGTGGTTCCGTGCCGCCGGCACTCCCGTGTCATATCAGGCCTTATGTCCACGTGGAGCGCGCATGTGCCCAGTGTGTGCGTGGCCTCCACGTCAGCCCTTTGCCCCCAGAGGAGCCCACCCTGCCTGCCACCTGCCCTCCCACCCTCCGTGAACCCACCACAGCCCCGCCGCTGAGCAGCCCCCTTCCCTGGGGCGGCGAGCACGTGGGCCTGCCCCAGCCTGTGCTGCTCCCCGGCAGGTCCGAGGGGAAGCAGGCCGGCCGCCGGGGCCGGAGCACGTCCCTGAAGGAGCGGCAGCCCGCGCGGCCGCAGAACGAACGGGCCAACAGTCTGGACAATGAGCGCTGCCCGGACACGAGGAGCCAGCTGCAGGTGCGCACTCCGGGACAGGTCATGGGCAGAGGCCACGGCCGCCCAGATCTGACCCAGTGCTGGCAGCTCAAGGGGGAGGCGGCCCGGCCACCTTGCGGGCTGTGACGGTCCCACGGAGCCTTAAGCCCAGTGACCTGTCCGGTGCAAAGCCGAGTTCTTGAGCAAGAGCAGGGCCGGCCTCTCCTGCCCACTGCTGGGTGGCTGCTGGGGGTGGGGGTCAGCTGGAGGTGAGGGGTGCAGCACCCCTCCCACCAGTGTGGATGGGCCTGTGTCTCCAGATCCCCAGGAAGACCGTGTATGACCAGTTAAACCACATCCTCATCTCTGATGACCAGCTCCCTGAAAACATCATTCTCGTCAACACCTCCGACTGGCAGGGGCAGGTGGGGAGGGGCCAGGCGTCCTCCCTGCGGTGGGAGCGGGGTGGGGTGGGGGGTGTCCCCTCCGCGGGGGGAGAGCCCGCGCCTGGCGTTGCGTGTCGTGGGGGTGCGGCGCTGACGGGAGGCGGGGTGGGGCGCTGAGGCTCACTCCGCGCCCTCGCCCCAGTTCCTGTCGGAGGTCCTGCAGAAGCACACGCTCCCCGTGGTGTGTACGTGCTCTGCCGCTGACGTCCAAGCGGCCTTCAGCACCATCGTCTCCAGAATACAGAGATAGTGAGTCCCGCTGCCACGGGGCGTCCGTCGGGGTCCCTGCATCCCAGGCTCGCCTGGGGCTGCGTCGGGGGCGGTGGTGGACCGCAGGCGTGCCCACCCACAGGCCCCCCACGGCCCGCCTTCCGTCCGGATCTGGGCGGTGGGGGGTCCCCGCGGCGGCGGGGACCTGGCAGCAAGCGCGGCTCCCTGAGGCATCTGTCCCCTCTCTGTCCTGCCCCCGGGGCCACAGCTGCAACTGTAACTCACAGCCGCCGACCCCCGTGAAGATCGCCGTGGCGGGAGCGCAGCATTACCTCAGCGCTATCCTGCGGCTCTTCGTGGAGCAGCTGTCCCACAAGACCCCCGACTGGCTGGGCTACATGCGCTTTCTCATCATCCCGCTGGGTGAGAGGCTCTCGCGGGGGGGCAGGCGTGGAGCGCTCGCCCCTGCGCTGGGCACCCTTGGGGCCCCGCACCCCGTCGTCGGGCTAACTCGATGCTGTTGTCAGAAGCAGGGCAGGGTGGTCGCGAGTCCTTGTAAACGACCAAACCCCGTGGAACGTGGCTCCGCATCTGTGGCTCGCACGACGTGTTACTGGGAGGCGCCGGTCCCAGGGGAGGGGCTGCCTGGCACCCCAGCACCCTCTGTGGTCCGCAGCGGCGCCCCCGCCCCCAGGAGCAGGGAGGGGCTTCGAGGGCCCACAGAGCGGGCCCTGCAGCCTGACCCTCTCCCCTGGGCTCGCAGGTTCCCACCCCGTGGCCAGGTACCTGGGCTCCGTGGACTACCGCTACAACAACTTCTTCCAGGACCTGGCCTGGAGAGACCTGTTCAACAAGCTGGAGGCCCAGAGCGCCGGTGAGGCCTGGGGCCAGCCGGCCGGGTGGGGGCTGCCCTCGCATCCTGCCTCCAGGAGCCGCCACGCCTCCGGGAGCAGAAGTGGGGCCTCAGCCAGGTGCTCCCCACTGGCCGCCATGGGCCTCAGAGCTGGCTGGCCATGGGGTCCCGGACGAGGGCTCCCAGGGATCCGGAGGAGCCGTGAGGGCAGGGGGGGCCCTCAGCTGCCCCCAGCATTCCCACTGCTCCCAGGCTGGGAGCTGGGTGGCCCTGGGGGCACCGTGTGGGGTGAGAGGGGAGTGTGGCACCCCACGGACCCTGCCCGGCCTTCTCGTGCAGTGCAGGACACACCGGACATCGTGTCGAGGATCACCCAGTACATCGCAGGCGCCAACTGTGCCCACCAGCTGCCCATCGCAGAGGCCATGCTGACCTACAAGCAGAAGAGGTACCTCGCTGGGCCCTGGGCAGGGCGGGGTGTGCGTGAGGGCGGGGGCGCCGACTCCGCGCCCCAGACGCGGGCCACCCCCAGCTGCCGGCCCTCCGTGGGCCTCCCTGCCCGCGGCTGGTCTCAGAGCCTTCGGACAGCACCGGGGGGCTCGTTGGGACGGTCATCAGGGACAGACCTGGTTGGCCAAGGGACGGAACCCAGGCTGGGCTTGGGGGGAACGACGTGAGAGGGCCTGGCAGCCCCAGGTCCTCCTCTGAGTTGGTTAGAAGGCACTGGTCGATCTTTCTCTATTTTGTACGTTGGAATTTTCCATAATGAAGGTTAAAGGAACAACTGTCATGCGTCCCTGTCCTAGTGGTGACCTACTCACGGGAACGCAGGCCTGGGCTCCCTCAACCTCCTGGGCTTCCCGGGCCCGGAGACACGTTCTTGTCCTGACCCCGGGCAGGACGGCGGGCAGGAGCGGGGGGCCACCACCGAGGCCGGGCGGAGGTCTGGCTGCCGGCCCGCAAGGGCGGACGGCCAGTGCAGGGAGGGTGGGCCGAAGGGCCGACTCTGCGAAGTGTCTGGGCTCCTGTCCGCGGGACGCTCTGCGGCTCTCCCGGCGTGGGGGTAGGAAATTCAGCTGACGCGTCGGCGAGCTGCAGTGGCTGTGTGGGCCCCGAGCTGGAAGCCGCGACGTGCGTGCTGAGCACATAATAACATGTCTGTGTTTTCTCTTTTGGTGGCTTTCTGAAAAGGAAAAAGAACTTTCATTTTGACTTTACCCTCAGGTACCGCTGTCCCTGGGTCTGCGTCCCTGTGTCCCCAGGCTGGTCTTTAGGGCTGTTTAGCAGTATGAGCAGCTGGGGGCCGTCTCGTACCCTGCCACCTGTCAGGCAGGGCCCTCCACTGAGCGGCAGGTGGGTGGGTGCCCCGAGCCAGGACTTTGCTCTCCGGCCCCCACCCAGCTCGAAGGGCAGGCTGTCCTCTGTCCGCTGCAGTCCAGAGTTTGAGTCGAAGAAGCGGCCAAGTTGACCCCCCCGTGAGTGAGTATCTGTGTTTCTGAAGCCCTGGGCACCACCTCTTGAAGTAGAAGCAGGTGCTTAGGGTCTTACCACGAGTCACTGGCCACTGATGCCATGTCTGGACTTTTGTCCCACCACCTTGTAGCTGATGACCTGACTCATTGCTGCCGATTCTGCACGTGGGGACGTGCAGGCCAAAGGGTGGGGGGCCCACCAGATGGCGCACACTCCCAGCCTGGCTCTGGGTCCTGCGCCCGGGGCTGCAGAGAGCGGCACAGAGGGTCTCCCGGCCGAGTTTTGTGGCTCAACTGGGCAGGTGGCCAGACCGCGGAGACCCCCACGTGCAGTGAGGGGCTTTTCACCTGCAGGTGGCTCCTCCCTTGAAAACCTACATGTTGGGAGCCACACTCCGAGGCGCCCCCAGAGCTGCCCTTTCATTTGGGGTTCCCCTTTCTTGTCCTGGCAGCCTGCCTGCCGGGCCCCCCTCAGGGCACCGCTCCACCCTGGGTCTTGGGTTCTTTCTCTCCTGGGAAAGCCCGCCAGCCCAGGGTCGCTGAGCCCGAGGCAGCCTCCTTGCTGGACAGACCAGGAGGAGGGGTCTGTGTCCCTATGTGGCCCTGCTAAACGAGCCTCTGTGAGCTAAAGAAAGACCAGCCGTGGCGTGCCCCGTGACTGCTCGAGCCGCCCTGGGCACCATCCTGCGGACGCCCGCAGCCTGCTTTGCTGCCTGGCACCAGCCCCTCGTCTCTCCAGCCCGGGCTTTAGGGGACCCTGGCCCTCGTCCCATGACTCCTGCCCCCACCTCCGCGTCACAGTGGTGACACCGGCCCCTGGGTTGGGGCCCCAGGGAGGCCCAGTGTGTTGGCCACCCTTGGAGCCTGGGACCAGGAGGTCAGCAGGCCACCTCTGTCTGCTGTGGGTCAGGAGACCCAGGAGAGGGTAGGCGGTGGACATGGCCCTCGGGGCCCCATCTCCTCCTGCCCCCGTGAGAGCACCTGCAGGGAGGCTCTAGACCGCACGCAGCGCCTGGCCTGACCTCAGACCACGCCTGCGGCGTGCGGCCCCAACAGCTGCCTTGGGTCCCCTGGGGGTGGGGGTGACGTCCAGGGCACTATGTCCTCAGGCCCTCCCAGCTCTGTGCTCCCAGCGTTGAGCTGAGGCATGCTCATGCTCCCCCCACGTGGTCTCATGAGCCACAGGCCCAGGGGCCCCCACCATGGAGCCACACGTATGAGCCTTAGGAGTTCTGACCCGTGCCCCGCCCGAGACACGCGTGCTCCCTCTGCGTCCAGAGTTCAGGTGGCGAGGCCTCAGTGGCAAGCCGGTGTCACCCCTGTCCCGCTGGGCGCGCGTCAAGTGCTGAATGTTGTCTGCATGGCCAGGGCTCAGCTTGGCTTCTCAGAGTCCAGCAGCATCCCTGTGTGGTGGCGTTCCCCCGCGGCCCCGCCAGGCCCTCGCCTGCCTCCCTGCGTGCTGCTCTTGGGGAGGGTCCTGGATCCCTGTGGGCTGGAGCCTCCCCCCGCCCTCGGCCGGGGGCCCATGAGGACCTCGCATGCGAAAGCCGGCCTGGGCACGGGGTTCGAATTGCTGTGTTATCTGTGGATAAGCTCTGTTCCCCCCAGGTCAGAAAGGCTGGGGATTTGGCCATATTCAGTGGGATGGCCCAAATCTGTAGGTTCTTTTATCCAGAAACGTTTGCCAGGTCGTCCTCGGAGGTGTGATGGGCGGTGCCGGGGCAGAGGCCATGGTCCCTGTGTCCAGGTGGCGCCCAGGGGCCTGCCAGCCCGGTCCCCTCATGCGGGTGCTGTGCCACAGGGTGAGGACAGCGCCTCCTGCTGGCACCGGCCTTGGGCGCCCGGTGTGCTTTCCCTGGGGGGCACTGGCCGGGCGCCCGCCTCCTTCCCGACAGGAGCAGGGCTGGGGGGATGGCCTGAGAGCCAGGGAAGCTGGGGCAAGGAGGCGCCCCCCTTCTCTGAGGTCACAGGAGGCCCAGGAGGCCCAGAACTGGCCCTGCCCGGTGGGTTTTCCCAAAGGCCAGGAGTTGCTCTTACAGCAGCCAGGGAGCCTGGTGCCCAAGCACCCTGTCCCCCACCGGGAGAGCCACTCAGGCCCCAGCCCCGCGGTGGAGACCAGTCATTGCAGAGCCAGCTGCAGGGATGAGCTGCAGGACTGGCCTGGCCCACGGAACTCAGATGCTGGTTTGCGTCCCCTTGGCTGCTGCCCCCACCCCCCCCACCCCCTGCCCTGGAGGGACCTCTGACATGCCTGCCTGCCCCAGCAATCCCAGGGAAGGCAAGGCTCTCCTAGAAGACATGGGTGCCCAGTCCAGACAGAACCTTACGGCCGCCCGTGCTGGCCGGCCTCCTACAGCAGCACGGCCCCGAAGCCTCAGTCTCCCCTTCAGGCTGCTCTTGGGGTGGCACTCTGCCAGAGCATGGTGTGTGCACCCCACCCCCGAGGTCGGAGGCCTGGAAATTGCCCCTGCCCTGTCTCTCTGGTTGGTGTGGACTTTACCTAGACTGTCCAGGAGAAAACCTCCACACTCTGGCTTTCGGTCACCCCCGATCACTGGAGGAAGCCCAGACTGTCCCATGGGGGGGTCCTGGGGCACATGCAGCAAGCTGTCGTCTTGGGGCTGTGTGGAAACGGAGGCCTGCAGGGTTAGCAGAAAGGCGGTCGGGCCTGGACACCAGGCCCCTGGGCTGGAGAAGCTGGTTCCTGCACAGCTTCCCACAGGCCTCTTGACCTCAGCTGCAGGGAGCTGAGCTGAGGGTCGGAGGGCCAGGCCAGGCACTGCAGGGATGGGTGTGGGCATGGCATGGGCGGCATGAGGCCCTGGCTGCTGCCTGCCTGGTGGAGTGAGAGGTAACTGTCTGTGTTTCTTGTTCTTAGCCCTGACGAAGAGTCCTCTCAAAAGTTCATTCCCTTCGTAGGGGTGAGTACTTCTCTGGTGGGGCTCTTGCCGTACCCGAGGCATTCTTCCCGTGTGGCTGGCTTTACCTGCATGGGAAATGACCAATCTGCCAAACTTTTTTTTATAAAGTCTGGTTTTGCATTAACTTGATATGTTCAAGAACCTTCTTCACCAATTTGAGCTGAGTGCTCCTTTAAATCAACCCCCCCATCTTAAAGCTCATTGTTTCCTTCCTATGTTGAGTAGGGCTAGGCCCAGAGGTGGTCACTGCCCCCGGCTCTGCTTGGAGGCTGACAGGTGCAGGCAAACAGTTCACCTGGAGGCGAGGGCTCAGTGCTCAGCGCTCAGCATGTCCTGGGCACACGGGCTGTGTCAGACTCGGCTGTGGGTGGGCGCCCAGGGTCAGCAGGGTCTGGGGACAGGTCCCACTGGGATGGGGCAGAGTGGTGCTTCTGTCCCTTAGGAGCTATAGGACAGGAAGGGGTGCCTCCCGTGCCAGCCTGCCCAGCTGGGAGTGTGGTTTGCAGATTGGGAGGTTTGTCTTTTTTCCCACGGCTGAGGATTAACAGCTGCTCCGTGCTGGCTGGAGGGGCCACTGCCGTGAGTTTTCATAGCCGGGAACCTTGCTCGTGGCCTGCAGCCCCGGCATCTGCTGTAAGAGCCATGGGCAGTTTGGCAGACGGGGCCACCGGGCAGAGCAGGACGTCCACGCTGTCGTTTACCCTGGCCGGCCGTCAGGGCAGCTCGCAGCCCTCTTGGGACGGAGTTAGTCCAGGACAGCCTGTCTCGGGGAACCTTCTGGAGTGACAGGAGGGTCCTGACCCACTGGATGCAGCAGCTCCAAACACCCTGTGGACACTGGAAGCACCCGTGTGACGGAGACATAAGTTGTCACTTCATTTACTTTTACGTGGCTCCCACACCGGTCAGCCCATGTGGCGCCTGGTGCAGGCCCTAGCTGGGCAGGGGCCCCTCACACCAGGCCAGCCGTGGGCTCAGGGTTTGTGGAGGGGCCGCAGGGTGGGCCCTGTGCCCCCGCCCCAGTGTGCAGGATGACCCGGGAGGGTGCTTCTGCAGCCCTGTCCTGCACAGGGACACTCAGCCACGGCCCATGCCACCCTGGGCTCAGCTCTGCTGCAAAGACAGGAAGAACCGGGACCCTGCCCCTGGCCCGGAGCTCCCGGGAGGGTGGGGCATGGCAGCCGGGCGCCCTCGGGGAGACAGCACTCGTCGTCTGTCTGGAGCCCAGCACCTGGGCGGGAGGGCTGGTGACTCTCCAGGCTGCTGCCAGCCGGCGTCCCATTGCCTTCCAGGTGGTGAAAGTTGGAATAGTGGAACCGTCCTCAGCCACGTCAGGTAGCCCCATGCTCCCTGCCCGCGGGGCCAGGAAGGGGAGGGCGCCCCACCGTGGGAGGCCTGGCAGCCCCTCCCCTCCCCTCCCCCCGTGGCTGCTCGGGGGGACAGAGGCAGAGGGGAGCTCAACGCTGCCCAACTCCTTCCCAAAGGTGACTCAGATGACGCGGCCCCCTCGGGCTCCAGCGTGCTCTCATCCACCCCACCGTCCATGTCTCCCGCGGCCAAGGAAGCCTCACCCACCCCGCCTTCCTCCCCGTCAGTGAGCGGGGGCCTGTCTTCCCCCAGGTAAACGTGGCCGCACGAGGCAGGCGCCCCACCCCATCCTGACTTGAGCTCGCCCCTGATGCAGCGGGGCCTCGGGTTAGAGAGCACTGAGAACCACTCATGGCCACGGCCATGGCCGTGGCCGCACCTCTGGGATGCCAGCAAGCTGAGGGTCTGGCCGGAGGGGGTGCTCAGAACAGCCATTGGGAAGACACGGGTTTGCTGGGGCCAGGTGCCTCATTGGGTGGGGGTGGCCCAGGTTCTGACTGGCTTAGGAGATTTGTCCCCCTCCCCCCAGCCCTGGGGGCACTAGGGACAGAAACCACACGGAGTAAGTGACTGGGGGACTCTGCATGCAGACAGGGTCGGGAGACTGAGATGTGGGTAGAAGCTGTGGGAGCCAGGAGGTGGGGTGGTCAGCAGCCCCTCCCAGCCACCCTCGGGTCTTTGGTGAGCAGAACTCACCCACACCCCCAAGGGCCACAGGGTCCTAGGGCTGCTCCCGACTCCCACGGGGGCCACACCTCAGATGAGGCTGGTTGACCTTGGCCCTCCAGACTCAAAGGGGTGGTTTGAGAGCAGACGGGCGGCAGGCTCAGGTGCTCCTGGGTGACGTCGCATCACGGCCGTGCCCACCCACAGGCACAGACTGGGCTGTTCCCGGAGGCCAGGGACGGACTGCAGCAGGCTCCAGGGCTGGGGCTCCCCTCTGCGGGTTGGCTGCTGCAGGTGGCCCCCGGCGATGGGCCACACGGGCGCCAGCCGGCACCTCCTCCTGCCTGTGCCAGCCGCCGGGCAAGGACAGAGCAGTGAGGCCCCCTCTGCTTTTTGCAGCCAGGGCGTCGGTGCCGAGCTGATGGGGCTGCAGGTGGATTACTGGACGGCAGCCCTGCCCGCAGACAGGAAGAGAGAGGTGGAGAAGAAGGACCTGCCCGCCACCAAAAACACGCTCAAGTGCACCTTCCGGTCTCTCCAGGTCAGCAGGCTGCCCAGCAGTGGCGAGGCCGCGGCCACGCCCACCATGTCCATGACCGTGGTCACCAAGGAGAAGAACAAGAAGGGTGAGGTGGGGGGATGGGCCGACTGCTGGGGGAACTGGAGGGGTGGCCATGCAGGCCCCGAGCTTGCCACAGGTCTGGGGGCCACTTCTGACCACAGCCACAAGCAGCGAGCAGAGGCCACCTTGGCAGGCGGGAGCGCTGGCGGCCGTGGTCACAGTGGAACGTGGGTGGCACAGGACAGCAGGCTCCGAGGGCCGTGGCTGAACCCTGCAGCCCTTTCCCTCCTAGTGATGTTTCTGCCCAAGAAAACCAAGGACAAGGATGTGGAGTCCAAGAGCCAGTGCATCGAGGGCATCAGCCGCCTGATCTGCACAGCCAAGCACCAGCAGAACATGCTGAGGGGTGAGCACCTGCGGGGGCCCCCAGCACTCGTGGGAGGCCAGTTGCCCAGACGTCCTTCCTTCAGTGCGGAGCCCGCGGGGAGGTGTCTAAAATATGACAGGAAACCAGAGGAAGCTGGACTGCTTTTTAAAATTCATCTCTGGAAACACTTTTGTCTTGCTATGAAATGCGTATCACGTAGTTCGAGCTTCGAATCCATTTTGATAAAGCATTTGTATGCATAGAACAGCTTTTTAAATCCTGAGAAATAATTTCTCAATCCTTTCCATTCTTTTAAGATTGATTTATATATCTCAGACCTTTTATAGAAGATACTCTATAACTAGTTATTTCAGAATATGGAGCCCAAACAGTTTTCTCTTCATGAGTTCGAGTCTGATGACCACTGTGGTCAAGAACTGCCCCGCCTTCCTCCGTGGCTTTTCTGGTTTAAGTGGAGAGTGTTTGAACCCAGTTTGCAGACCCCTGCTGGGGCGGGGGGGTGGGCCGTGGATGAGCAGGTCCCCCAAATCAGGGAGAAGCTGGCCAGGAGCCAGGGGAGGGTGGGTAGTGGGAGGACTGACCCGCAGGTGTCTCGTGGGCGCCTGGGGTCCCCGGGGGTGCTGGGCACGGTGGGCAGGCAGCTCAGCTGGTCTTGTCCTCACAGTCCTCATCGATGGTGTGGAGTGGAACGATGTCAAGTTCTTCCAACTGGCGGCCCAGTGGTCCTCCCACGTGAAGCACTTCCCCATCTGCATCTTTGGACACTCCAAGTCCACCTGCTAGCCCTGCCCTGAAGCCCTGGACGGCGAGCGCCGGGAGGGCCCAGCTGCTTTTCTGTTAACGTTTCAGTTTACTACAGAGACCCTTAAAAACACAAAGAGAAACAGTCTTAAGTATGAACGTGCTCTCAACCTGGAAACTCATGGGGAGGGCCCCCCCCCTGGAGCCCATTAACTGCTCTGCTCATTAACCAGATGTGCCGGCGGGGTGGGAGGCCAGGTGGACAGCGCTGAGCTCTGAGAATCACAAAAGGTGTGTTTTGGCCTCAGGACCTCCCGAGCCCCCCAGCAAGAAGGGTCCTCACCCTCGCGTCCTGTTCTTCCTGAAAGCCAGGACTCTGCTTCCTCAGGGAGCTGGGGTCAGGCGGGCGGCCTCACAGATCCACGGGCTGCTTGTGTGCCCAGACACAGAGCTGGGTGGCTGGAGGCTGAAGGCCGGCCTCCTGTTGGGGGCGCCCTGAGCAGAACATGGCGGCCGGGCAGCCCAGGCCTGGGCCCAGCTGCCCACCAGCCGAGAGATGCCCCAGCACCACCCACTTGTGGTTCCCAATAAACTCCAGCCTCGTGGGGCAGCGGAGGTTTTATAGTAGCAGATATTTTTAATGCTTTTAAATACATGTTATAATGTAGCTGCCAAACAGACAGTGCTCTTCCGATGTCCCAGTGGCCCCTGGGGCTGGGGCAGAGCCAGCCAGCGCTGTCCCGCGTCCCAGCCCCCAACACCCGCCTCACTCTCCCTCTGGCTGTTCTTGAGCCATCACTATGCTTCTGCTGGTTGTCCCTGCCCCAAATTTAGCAAGCACAGTGGCCCCCACAGCTGGCCCCAGCCCGCTCGGCCTCCTCCTCCCACCTGGCCCCCAGGCTGGCTAGGGGGGTGTCTGGGCCGATACAGCACTCATGTGGCCAGTGAAAGCTCAGGCAGGGCAGCCTGGCCTCAGGAGCCAGGCACCACTGGAACTGTAGGTGCAGCTGGGGGTACCCTGAAGAGGCACAGAGCCCTGGCCTCTCTGGGCCAAGCTCTCTAGAGCAAGGTTTTGGGTTTGGGTCCCACCCTGGGTGGTAGCATCACCCCCTGCCTTTCCATGTAGCAGGAAAGGGACATCCTGACCTGCAGCAAGAGTCCAACCCAGTCCCGCTGCTCCCCCCGCAACCCTGCAGCCCACTTTGCATGGGAAGAGCCCACCAGTTCCCATCCTTTGGCAGCTGTGGCCCTGGGATCCTGGTAGCCCATCCAGGGGGCCACACTGGCTATGCTCAGAACACAGTGCCAAATGCAGGGCAGGCTGCAGGCCATTCCTGTTCTTCCAGAGGACAGGCCTCACCAACAGCCCATGGCACCGACAGGTCTGCCCCTGGGGGAGTGAGCGATGGCCCACTCTTCTTAGCTGTGACCTACCGGCTTCCTTCCTCCCCCAAGGCAGTGGCCCCGGGCTAGTCAGGGAGCAGGAGGACATGGGCCTGACCTTGTGTATGGCCCTGCCTCGGGGGTGCCTGTGGGCAGAGGACCTTCTCCATGAGGGCCCAGACTCCTCCCCTGACAGCTCCTGGGACCAGGGGCCCTAAGCCGAACCCTGGCCTGGAAGGACGGGGTCAAGGTGCAGGCTGCTGAGCCCCAGCATCTCCCGTGGCCTGTACCCTCAGAAGTAGGCCCTGGGACCTTGAGCCTCCCTGCCCTGGTTCCCGCCACTGGGTCTCAGGGCCTTGGTCACTGGGTCTCAAGTTTCCTTTCCAAAAGTCACACTCAGCAGGAAGGAGGTACAGGGGAGGCTCCTGACTTCACTTTCTAGCCGCAGAACTGACTTTAGAGGAAGGGGCCAAATGGGGGGCAGTCACATCCTTTCTGGCTGCGGGCAGTCCCTCTCCTGGGACCATCCCTCCCTCCACCCCCACCCCCCGTCCACTTCATAGCTATGTCCTCATTCATGCAAGGGGAGCACCTTTACCCCGGGCCTACAGAGCCCAGTTGCGGTCTGTCCTGTTCCTAAGTGCCATGGGGCCCACCCGCCACACTGTCCCCAGGCCCAGGAGGTCATGCACACAGCCCCAGGCACCGTGACTCCCTCAGAGACCTGGGCTGCGCTCACCCCTGTGCCTCGGCTTCCCCAATGGCTCAACAGGGTTGGTCACGTTTCCCCTGCCTACCTCATGGAGCTGTTCTGAGGATCCATGGAAAAGCACTTTGTCCCTCCCAGGAAGAGGATGCAGAAGCCAAAGCCATCCGTGACAGAACCGTGCAGCTGTGAGCACGTAGGGGTGGCGTGGGGGTGAGGTGTGTGGCCCCGGCAGAAGCAGCCCCCCCAGAGCAAGGGTTCTCAGCCCACCGGGTGACCAGTTGGAACTTGGGACTCAAAGGGCAAGCCACCCATCACTGCTAGGCAAGGCCGGGCGGGGTCCCACTGCTTCCTCGCTCCTCCCATGCCCGTCCCCTGGGTCACTGTCTCCTCAGGGCATGCTGGCCAGGGTCCTGAGTCAGTGTCATGGCTGCATCTCGGGGATGGCACTCAAGGACGGCCTTGCTGCCCTGTCCTTGCCCCCAGACGGGAAGACCAGACTCCTCTCCGGGGCCTGGCCTTTGTCCTGGAGCAGATTCCTCGTTAGGAGACAGGGCCACTTGCTTCTAAGGGCTGCCGGAGCTCCTACGCCTGCCCCTTGCCCCCTTCCACACCTGGCCTCCGTGGGCGGAGTCGGGAGAGCGTGTCCCCCGCAGGAGCCCGCGCCCGAGGGCTGCGCTTGGCGGCCACCGCGGGGGGCCTGCAGGGAGGGCTGCGCTTGGCGGCCACCGCGGGGGGCCTGAACCTGCAGGCCGAGGAGGGCCGCTCTGCGTCTCGGCAGACCCCGTCCAGCTCATCGTGCATTGTTTAGTTTCTAGGATATACGTGTTGCTAGGGTTTTTTTTTTTAATGGAAAACAGGATTAATGTAAATAGCCTCTTTGGGGAACAGATTCTAATCTGTCACGTATGTGACCACGTGGACTATTTTAAGGTGCTGATGCAACACTAATAAACCTGGGGGCACCCCCAGGCCTTCCTCCCTCCCTACTGTGTGATTCCTCCAGGGCCCACGGCCCGCAGAGCCCCGGGCTCCATCCCCGGCGCGCACTCCGCGGGCCGGCTAGCGCCCCTGGGTAACGGCCGCGGGCGGTGGGGGCCACGCCCGGGGAGCGGGGGAGCGGGGGGGGGGGGACGCCGGGGGGCGTGGCTGCGGCCGGTGGGTTCCGCTGGGGGCGCGTGGGGGGCACCGTCTGGGGGAGCGGGGCGACACGGGAGGGACGCCGGGGGGCGTGGGGGGCACCGCCCGGGGGAGCGGGGGAACGTGGGGGCGACGCCGGGGGGCGTGGGGGGCACCGCCGGGGGAGCGGGGGAACGTGGGGGGGGACGCCGGGGGGCGTGGGTGCGGCCGGAGGGTTCCGCTGGGGGGGCGTGGCTGCGGCCGGTAGGTTCCGCTGGGGGGGCGTGGGGGGCACCGCCCGGGGGAGCGGGGGAACGTGGGGGCGACGCCGGGGGGCGTGGGTGCGGCCGGTGGGTTCCGCTGGGGGGGCGTGGGGGGCACCGCCCGGGGGGGCGGGGCGACACGGGAGGGACGCCGGGGGGCGTGGGTGCGGCCGGTGGGTTCCGCTGGGGGGGCGTGGCTGCGGCCGGTAGGTTCCGCTGGGGGGGCGTGGGGGGCACCGCCCGGGGGAGCGGGGGAACGTGGGGGCGACGCCGGGGGGCGTGGGTGCGGCCGGTGGGTTCCGCCCGGGGGAGCGGGGGCCACGGAGGGTACAGGGCCTGGGGGCCGAACGGGGGGGGGGGGCGCGAGCGCAGCGCCTGTGAGGGCTCCGGCCGAGGAGCCCCGAACTACGCCTCGGAGACTCCCCAGAGGCGGAGAAGGGAGGCATCTGCGAGGAGACCGCTCCGAGCGCCGCGGAGTCGCACTCCGCCCCGGCTGCAACCAGGCCCCGCCTTGGGGCTCCTGGGCCACAGCGCAGGCGCGGCGCAGGCCGGAAGCGGAAACGGCGGGGCGGGGCCAGCCACAGGGCAACTTCCGCCGGGCTCGGTTCCGCCGCCTCGGGCTCCCCGAACCGCTGTGGCCACACCCCGTTCTTTGACCGCCCCACCGTGGAGGCCCCGCCCTTCCGCCTCCGTGCCCCCGGCGTACCCCTTTCCCCCGCCTCGGCACCCGCAGCGTACCCCGTCTCCCCGCGTTCGCACACCGCGTACTCTCGGGGTGCTGCGCCCCTCCCCGCTGCACCCGCGCTCCCGCAGACCTCACCGCTCCCCGCCCCCACACGCCCGGGGCACCGCGCCACGTGCTTCCAGCCTACCCCTCGGTTCCCCGCACCCCTCCGCACCCCGCCGCACCCCGCCGCGTTCCCCCAAGGGCCGCGCTCCCCCACCAACGACTGGCGCCTCCCCGATGGTGCCCTCCTGACCCCTGCCGCGAGCCCCGCTCAGCCCACTCCCTGCCCGCAGAGCCCCGGGAGGGGAGAGGGGCAGCGTCGTCCGGCTCACGGCGCCCCTTGGGGTGTGGTCCGCGCGGCGTCGAGGTGAGGTCACAGGGGGCAGGAGGGGGGCGGCAGGGAGAGCCCGGGCCCTTCGTTCTGTGACTGGTCTGGGTCTTCTGTGCGGGTCCTCAGCAGCCGGCCGAGGGCACATGCCCGCAGGGCTGGAGCCGAGGCGGGAGGCCTGGGCCCCGGGGCGGGGCGGCGCGGGGTGCAGTAGCCGGACGGTGAGCCTCGCGGGGCCTGACACTGCCTCCGTCTGCCTGGGGGGCCCAGGGAGCGGTGGTGACCTTCCCCAGAGCCCAGGAGGTGCAGACACGCAGCCTGTGGGGCTGCAGATGGACCGCCCGAAGCACTCGTCTAATGCCCCCGTGGGGAAGAAGCCCAGACTGCCCTTGCCCCGGGAGCACAGGCAGCTCTCTCCCGCTCTGAGCCCGACTGTGGCCTGGGACCAGCCCGGGGCCCAGGGCGAAAGGCGGCAGCTGCAGACGCAGGACTGGGTAAGCTGAACCCCAGGAACCGGCTCTGCAGGTGGGCTGGTCCGGGTGGGATGCGGAAGGGGCGACTGGGCCCCGCGGGCGGCTGAACAGTGCCTGCTGGGAGGCTCACAGAGCATCAGCTCTCTTCCCGGGGCCCTGAGTGGGCACCTAGGGGGCCCCTTCTGCCTCCCATACTGGGCCCTGGCCGTTTCTGCCGGGCACTGCAGAGGGGCCTGCCTCGGTCTCCCCAGCACCTGCACCCTGGGTGGGGAGGGTGGCACCCCAAGGAGGGAGCCAGTGACGGGGAGCTCCGCCCCACAGCAGAGCTCCTGGACAAGGTAGGCAGGCAGTCGGCAGGACTGTCACCAAAAGTGGTGACCAAAACATTCCCAGGGGTTCTGCTTGTGACGGCCCCAAACTGGAGGCACCTCTCCGTCCCCCTGCCTCACACCAGATGGGTGAGCAGTTGCTTGGTTCCCACCGAGCCATGAGAGGGGGCACAGCTGCTCCGGCCCCTGGGGATGCTTCAGGACCAGAGAAGCCAGACGCCCACAGTTGTGTGTGGTTCCCTGTGTGCAAGGGTCAGAGCGAGGTCGGACACATGCCAGGTGTGACAGGGCGGCCAGCGTGGCCAGTGGGAGCCTGTCAGGCTGTGCGCTTGGGCTCGTGTGCGGGGACACTTGCTGTGGTCAGAGGTTTTCATAAGAAGGTGGCGGGAAAGCAGGCTCCCTAGCTGCCCCCTGTGGCCGCCGTGTGCTCTTCCAGCCGTGGCCCCTGCCGGAGTACCTGTGAGGGCTGTGAGGGTCCTGGGGGGCCAAGGCCACAGACCCCTCGACTTGCTGGACCAGAACATAAACACACAAATGTGTCACCTGGCAGGAGAAAGGGCGTGACTCGGGGGCCCCCATCCTGAGTGGGTGGTGGGGACCATCGTTCTCCCGGCAGCTCTTGGGCAGAGCCAACTCCCACCCCCAAGCTCGAGTTTCTGAGAGGTGGGTGGGGGCCAGTGGGGCTGCAGGGGAGCGGGAAAGAAGGGCCCGGTGGGTGGGGGCCAGTGGGGAGGGATTTGGGTGGCGGCCGGAAGAGAGTGCAGACCCATCTCTGCAGTCTCTCAGGTTTTTGGTTTGGGGGCAGGGAGTCCCTCTCCCTCCATGTTATCGTGCTGCTTCCCTCCTCTGCTCCCAGCCCTCCGGGAATGTCAGCCGCTCACTGCAGCCTGAGGGATTCCCTGGGCTACCCTCTGTCTCACTGTCCTGCATGGTGTCCTTCCTCTTTGTGCTCCTCGGTGTGGAATGCTGTTCCTGCAGGCCGGCCTGCAGCTGGCCCCTTGTCAGGCATCGCCTCCAGCCTGGCTGACCATTCCTTTCGTCCCTGAGTCATCCCATCCTAAGCCCCACAAGAGCCACCTTCATCTGCAGCGTTCACCGTGGGCCCCGTTGCCTCACACAGTGAGGCCATGTGCTCACAAAGGGCAAGGAGCTCAGGCTGAGGCCAGGGTCTAAGGAGACCTCCCCCGACGGAGGGTCCGCCAACATCCAGCCTCTCACCAAGGGCTAGACAAGCTTATACCTCCTGGCAAGCTCACTGAAATGACCACAGAGTGTTCTGAAGAAGGCAAGAACCCACAGAACAGCACAGGATGGCAGGGCTGGCCAACAGGACACGTTCTGGTGGGCAGGCACAGATTGGGCAGAGCTGTGGGGTGGGGCGCAGCAGAAACAGGTTGCTGCCTTAGCCACTGAGCCCCAGTCCACCCACATTGCTGATCCAGTCTTGGTGCCCTGTTCCATACCAACTGACGGCTAAGGGCACCAGGCATTTGCAGAAAACCTCTATCCTGAAGGAGTAAAACTAGAAGGAACCAGAACCACAGCAGTGCCGAGAGAACAGAATGGAGCTGCAGGCGAGTCACCGTCCTCACGGTGAGCTGTGCCATCTTGGAAGAATTGGCCCATGCAGCACCACGGAGGAATGTGAGTGTGCCTGTTCAGTGTAGGAGAATGGACCGGAACCAGTCCACAGCAGAGGGTTCGGGAAGAGGGTCCACACGACTGCGTGCAAAGCAGTGGCCTGCATGGTTATAAACAGACTCCAGAAGAAAAATGAAAAAGGCCAGTCTGAAAATGGGAATAAACTTAATAGGAAACAGGCAAACCTACTTGAGAGAAACTAAAACACCCTGAGCATTACCGAGAGCCTTGACAACAGGAAGAGACACCCAGTTCTTGGAGGGGAAGGCTCCCCAGCACCAACGGTCCTCCTCAGGCGTTTCACAATTCAGTGTCATCAACAATAAAAATGCTAAATATTTGGGGCACCTGGTCAGAAGAGCATTCGACTCTTGATCTCGGGGTCATGAGTTCGAGCCCCCCATTTCGTGTAGAGATCACTAAGAAAAAAATAAAAGAATGGTAAATGTTTGTCTTCTTTTTTTCAGTATGCCAAACTGGTGTAATAGAAAAAATAATCAAAAATAGGTTCAGTCCTAGCAGATGTGAATTCATACCACAAAACGTCAGTTAGCAAAGCAAGAGTCCTGGCGTGTGATGTATGAATATCAAGACGGAAAAGTAAGTCTGGAAATTGACCCAAATGCCCACAGACACTTAGCGTAGGATGAAGATGGTATCTCAAATCAGTGGGGAAGATGGACTTTGAGTAAATCATGCGGGGCAACGGTGTAGCCATCCAGAAGACAGGCACTTGTAGCCGTACCTCTCACTGAACACCAGGATGAACCCCAGGTGCACAGGGGCAGACTGTTAACCTAGCGTCCAAGTCCCGAAGCCAGGAAAGAGTAGATGGTTACATTTAACCACCTGTGGAAAATCAACAAAACTTTTAGGGAGGCAAAACACATACCATGAACAAAGTCAGAGATAGCTGATCAACGCACCAAGACGCTCGGGGGGTGGGGGTGGGGGGTGCGGTCTTGTCCACACACTGTGCTGGGAACACTGGATTTGTAAAAAGAATGAAGTCAGACTCTTGCTTAATGCCACGTACAAAAACTAACTCAAAATGGATCAAAGACATAAAAGTACAAAACTCCTGGAAGAAAATACAGGGGAAAGCTCCATGTTAGACTTGGCCCTGATTTCTTGGATGACACCCAACAGCTCCAGCAACAAAAGTAGAAGTAGATAAATGAGGGTTCATCAAATTAAAACCTGTTGGTCCTCAAAGGACACCATCAACAGAGTGAAAAGTTAGCCCGTGGGGTGGGAGAAACATGTGCCCATCACATACCTGGTAAGGGATTAGTGTCCAGAATGCATGGAGAAGTAAAACTCTAAACCAAACAACAACCTGAGGCAGAAATGGGCAAAGGACTTGAACAGACATTTCTTCCGTTACATCAGGGGTTGACAAGTATGTAAAACAATGCTCAACATCATTGGTCCTAGGGCAATGCAAATCAAAACCACAGTGGACAACACTTCACCCCCGGGACCGTAACTCCTCTCAAAAAAAGGGGGGCGCCTGGGTGGCTCGGCCGGTGAAGCATCTGCCTTCGGCTCAGGTCACGGTCCCGGGGTCCTGGGATCGAGCCCCGCAGCGGGCCCCCTGCTCCGCGGAGAGTCGTCTACTCCCTCTCCCTGTGCCGCTCCCCCTGCTTGCGCGCTCTCTCTCTCTCTCTCTCAAATAAATGAATGACTAAATAATAAAAAAAAGTACGGGCAGGATGTGGAGAAAGTGGAACCTGCGCAGCGCTGGTGGGCGTGTGAAGCGGTGCCGTCACTGTGGGAAGCAGCGTGGAGTCCTCCAGAGCTTGGAAGGACTCGAGCAGGCGGGTGTCCGTCCGTGTTTACGGCAGCAGTGTGCACAGTAGCCAAAACGTGGAGGCAACCCGGGGGTCCGTTGAAGGAGGAATGTGAGTGTACGTGCGGTGGAATATGATTCAGCCTTAAAAAAGGAAGTTTGTTCTGACAAACGTCACGACACGGATGCACCTTCAGGACATGTGCTGGGTCATCAGCCGCTCACGGACGGACAGACGTGTGACGCACTTACGTGAGGCCCCGGGAGTGGGCAGACTCAGGAAGTGCAGTGGGGGCAGCAGGGGCTGGGGACTTGGCGCGTGGGGCTTCAGTTCGGGAAGATGCGACGGGCAATAGCAGCAGCCACACAACACTGTGAATGTGCTTTAGGGGCCCTGAACGGTACACCTTAAAGGGGTAACAATTACGTGTACTTCAGCACACGAGAAAGCACGAGGAGACGAGATGGGAGGACTCATTTGGGACACGCAGCTCCCCATGGGGAACAGGGTGAAGCTGCTGCCGGTCCCAGACACTTGAGGACACGGCCGGCGAGCGTGGAGGCAAAGCTCCAGGCACCGAGGGGAACCGGAGAGCCACGAATGCCCACCAAGGGTTCTGCAAGGACGGGGGGACACCGCGCGGGGCCGCCCCCCAGCTGACCCTGACTGGCCCCGGGGGCAACTGAGGCCAGCAGGTTGCCCTGGAAACGGAAGCGAACGGGAGCTGCCCCCAGGCAAGTCCCTGCCCTGACACCCAGCCCCTGACAGAGGCACCAGGCGCGAGCCTGGACGGCAGGGACCGCGCGGGGGTCACGCGGCGCTCACACCTGCAGCGAACAGGTGGTCGTTGGGACGGAGGGCCTGGCGCACGGAGCAGTGAAAGGTGTTCCGTGTCAGGGCTATAAATGAAGTCGCTGGGCAAAGTGTGAAAAGGTGGCGGATACGGAGTGGGCAGGGGTGCGGGGAGCAGAGCCAGCGCCCCCTGCTGGCGGCAGCCTGCGTGGCCGTGCGTGACGGAGTGACCCCCCCCCCCCACTTGGGAGCATCTCAGAAGCATGCGGGGTGAGAAGCGGGTGGGGGAACCGCTGTGGGACTGTCGGTCCACGTCGTGGGGCCGGGGCGGGGAGCAGGCCCTGGGGCTCAGCGCCGCCGGCCGGGGGAGGAGTCCTAGACACGGAGTTCTTCTCAGCCGGGATTTATTTCTTAGGGAGAAAAAGCTGAAGCAAATACGGCTTCGTTCACTTTGGATAGTGGACTCCTGCATTTTGAAATCATTTCTATTTCTCCCATGTGGTGGCGGTTCTCCATTTTAAACTGAACGCGGGCTTAGGGCCCCGCTGGGGTGGGAGAGCCCTTCCGCGGGCAGGCTGCAGGGACGCCCCAGCGCAGGCGGTGGACACAGCCCTTCCCTCGCTGCGGGCACCGAGACAGCAGGCCAGGGGCCCCTCACGATTGAGTTTGCAAATAACTGAGGCATAAAGTTCTAGTGATTGCATGAGAGACGACCAAAGTCCCAGTCCCAGTGGATTTCACACACTTTCTCTGAAGAAAATGACCAAGTGACAAAGTGAAGAAAAAGAAGACACGAGAGATTTGAGGAGCACAGTTGCCGACACGTGTGACTTACCGGGTGCCGAAATGTTGAGCGCAGCAAGCGGAGAATTGCCTTTTCTTTCCATTGGATCTTAGGGAGTCAGCACATCACTCCTGAAGCCCTGAAACATGCCCCAGGGAGGACGGTGGGAGCCAGCAGGGCACCGAGGGGTGTCCGATGTCCCCGCCGCCGCCCCTCTGGTGACTGACCCTGCCCCTCCTGCGGAGCTTGAAGCAGGAGCGGGTGCTCCCTTCAGGGGCTGTAGAGCAGGACTCGGAGGCCGAGGGGTGCGCCGTGCAGAGGGCAGAAGCCTCGGGAATCGTTCAGCGAAACCCAGGAAGTGGAAGGGAAACACTCGCTCCGTCCAACTTGCAAAGGACTCTGTTTTTTTAAAAAGAAACATGCAGAAAATCACAAAGAGCTCTTCATAAACAAACAAAACAGAACTGAAATGTTCGGTGGAGGGGTTGGAATACGAAATTGAGGAAACCACCTGGAAAATGGAAGAGAAAGACAAAGAAGTGGGACGTGGGAGAAAAGATGAGACACGAGAGCCGTGCAGAAGGAGCCCCATGCCGCTCAGGGGCGGAGACCGGCAGGGCCGGCTGAGTGGTGCGGGCAGGCAGGACGGCACTTCGCATCGTTAGCGAAGGTGAAAGGTGAGTATCTGAATTTGTATTACCAAGATGAACGTTTTAGGAGAGATTTTATTTATTTATTTTATTTTAGAGAGAGGGAGAAAGAGAGTGGGGAGGGGCGGAGGCAGAGGGAGGGAGAGAATCCCATGCAGGCTCCCCGTCCAGCACGGAGCCCGATGCGGGGCTCCATCTAATGACCCTGAGATCACGGCCGGAGCCGAGACCAAGAGTCAGAGGTTCAACTGACTGAGCCACCCAGGCACCCCCCAAAATGAACTTTTAAAAACCTGAAGACACCAATGACAACACAGGGAACTTCTAAAGTGGTCCCAGAAGCTCCCTAAGGGAAGGACCTACAGGTGGGCACTCCCAGGTGGCCAGGAAACGAGTCCCCCCACCAGGGAGGTGGAAACTGTCCAGAGTCACTGCTGGCTCACGTGGAGCAGCTTCACCCTGACACCAGGGCCGCGGGAGAGGGGGCGGCCACGGCCGCGGGAGGGGGGAAAGAGAAAAAACGACATGCTAATAGAGCTGTGGCAGAGTGAAGAGTCCTGAATATGTGGTAAGTAGATCAAACCAGGCAGCATCGGGGCGCCTGGTGGCTCAGTCGCTAAGCGTCTGCCTTCAGCTCAGGTCATGATCCCGAGGTCCTGGGATCGAGCCGCATCAGGCCCCCTGTTTAGTGGGAAGCCCGCTTCTCCCTCTCCCACTCCCCCTACTTGTGTTCCCTCTCTCGCTGTGTCTGTCAAATAAATAAATAAATCTTAAAAATAAATAAACAGGGACGCCTGGGTGGCTCAGTCATTCAGCGTCTGCCTTCGGCTCAGGTCATGATCCCAGGGTCCTGGGATCGAGCCCCGCATCGGGCTCCCTGCTCCGCGGGAAGCCTGCTTCTCCCTCTCCCACTCCCCCTGCTTGTGTTCCCTCTCTCGCTGTGTCTCTCTCTGTCAAATAAATAAATAAAATCTTAAAAAAAAAACACACACACATAAGCCAGGCAGCCTCTAAAGACTAAACCTCACGGCCGTGATGCCCCCAGCCCCCGACGCCTCCCCCCCCCAGCAGAGCAGGGACTTGGTCTCTCACAGCTGTGCTCCTAGTGCCGAGGACGGTGCCAGCACGTGAGTGATGAGTAGGTGCTCAATGAACAGATAAAGTTGTGTGTATATGGGAAAACTGTACCCCAAGGACAAAGGAATTTAGAAATCCATTTAATAAAATTCTCTACATTAACAAAGGAGGAAGACCACATGATTATCTCAATAGGTATGGAAAAATAATGTTAATAAATTCCAGTATCTCCTTAAAACAAACACAAAAACCTATTGATTATTTTTTTAATTGAAGCATAATTAACCCAGTGAAAACCTACTGATTCCGAGTAAGGTAGGAGAAGATGGACATTTCTGTAACCTGATGAAGGGAGCTATCAAGAGCCTTGATTGCACTTCACCAGCAGTGTCTCAACAGGTGCGGGGTGTCACCATGACAATGAGCCCGTCAGACACCGAGGCTGTGCCGAAGTCAGGAAAATGAAACGAGCTATAAATACCTGAAAAGAAAACATGAAATGGTCACTATTTGCAGCTAATCTATTGTCTGTCTAGAAAATCCATGTGAGCCCGTTAAGAAAGAAGACCACTAAGGAAAGAGGAAGGCTGGAGATGATCTCCATTTAAAACTTAATAGTTTCTCGGGCGCCTGGGTGGCTCAGTCGGTTGAGCATCTGCCTTCAGCTCAGGTCGTGATCCCCGGGGTGCTGGGATCGAGACCCTGCTCCACGGGGAGCCTGCTTCTCCCTGCCCCTCCACCTGCTTGTGCTCTCTCTCTGTCACATAAATAAATGAAATCTTAAAAAAAAATAAAAATAGTTGCTCATACACCAAAAATAACCCACCAGAAAATGTAGTGGGGAAAAAATGATCCATTCCCTTTAACAACAGAAACTGCAAAGTGCTTAAGAACGAATCTGTTCTGTGAAGGACACTGTAACCGAGGAGCATAGACAACACCTAACGGAAAGCTATACCATCTTATTTGATGGGACGAGTTAATGCTTTAAACCTGCCCGATTTCCCCGAAGTACCTGATTCGGTGCAATACCAATTTTAAAAAAAACGAACACTTCACGAATGTTGACAGTCTTATCCTAAATGTACATACGTCTCTGTCCTTGTATTAGTTATCTGTTGCACCTAACAAATGTCCCTGAGACTTAGCAGCTTAAAACCATAAGAAATACGTTTGTCCCGGTTTCTGTGGGTCAGGAACTCGTCTGTCAGGTTACAGTCAGGATGTTAGAGCTGCCGTTGTTGGACAGGTGGATTAGGCTGGCTTACATGGCTGGCAAGTTGGTGCCGGCCTCCGGCGGGAGGCCTTGCTCCTCACCGGGTGCCACTCGGAGGCTGGCTGACGTGCGTGGTCCAACCATAGCCACAGGCCCAGCAAGCCCCGAGCAGGAGCAGTGAGAGGAATCTGTCCCCGGAACCATCACAGTCCAGATAAGCTCTCGAAAGCCGTCAGAGAGGAAGGACAGAGTCTTGAAAGGAGCAGCAGAGAGATCTCGGTACGGTGGAGGACGTAACTGTCAACCTGGAACTTCATGCCCAGCAAAAATAATCTTTTAAGAAGAGGGAAAAAGGGGCACCTGGGTGGCTCAGATGGGTAAGCGTCTGCCTTCGGCTCGGGTCATGATCCCGTCTGCCTTCGGCTCGGGTCCTGGGATCGAGCCCCACGTCGGGCTCCCTGCTCTGCAGGGAGCCTGCTTCTCCCTCTCCCTCTGCCTACTTGTGTTCTCTCTCTATCTGTCTGTCAAATAAATAAATAAAATCTTTAAAAAAAAAAAAAGAAGAGGGAAAAATAAATGAATAAAATGATGCACAAAAATTTGCCCCAGCAGGACCTCGCCCTCGATGTGAAGAAGAGAGTTCACGTAGCCCGAAGGTGAGCTCAGACTGAAGGGGGCAGGTTCTGCGTGGGGGCAAATGGAAACTAACGTGGACAGGCACCAAAACACCCCACGGGGGCCACACACCGAAGACTCAGGGTAGACGAGCACGCGCACCCACCATGGCGCGAGCGTCAGGACGGGGTCTGTCAGTGGGGCTAAGTTTTCCAGGTTCCGTCTGGTCCCAAGAAGGCGAGGGGCCCGTTTGTTAACTTAGACTTGGTTGAGTGTGCATGCACGCGGGGCTGACACCAAGAGAGCAGAGAGAGAGTGAGTTTTGAACAAGTGGAGGGGAAGTGGCGGAGAGAGGAGAGGCCAAAGAAGGGTCCGTGGAACTGGAAGACAAAGCACGAGGTCCGGCAGCAGGTGCAGTGACCAATGTTGCCCCACTCACAACGCAGCCGTCGCCAGAGCGGATTAAAAACAACCCAGTCCCTCGACCTGCACATGAACGTGCACGGAGCAAACATGGGAATGTTCCAGCCCCGGGGGACGGAGACCTCCCACGAACAGCCTCCCATCTGTTCCTGGCGTGCTTTGGTGCCAAGCTCTGCCTTTGGGCCTGGAGTCAGAGCGAGTGGGTGCCCCTCCGCGGGCAGCAGGGTGACCCAACAGACGTAGTTGTGGGTGAAAGAAGCAAGTGGCACAGTATGTGTGCGGCGTAGGCTTCCTTCAGTCAGAGTTCAAAAACGAGGATATATTACTGCGTGGTAAAGATATTATTTGAAAGAATAAGGATTTTTTTTTTTTTGGAAGATTTACTTGGAAAAGAAACCATGCAAGGATTTTGAAAGATAAGAGCAGGTCTTGCTTGTCTGCTTGTCTGCTCTAAGCTCCAGCAATTAAAACTGTATGGCATTGGGGCGCCTGGGTGGCTCAGGTGGTTAAGCGCCGCCTTCGGCTCAGGTCACCTGGACCCTGGGATCGAGCCTCACGTCGGGCTCCCTGCTCAGCGGGGAGTCTGCTTCTCCCTCTCCCTCTGCCGCTCCCCCTGCTTGTGTGCACGCTCTCTCTGTCTGACAAATCAATAAATAAAATCTTTTTAAAAATAAAGTTGTATGGCATTGGGACAGACAGACATGGGCAAGTGATCCACAATGCAGTGCACAGTCCAGAAATGGATCCCCATTAAGTCTGGGGACTTAACGTGGGCTTTGCATGGCAGTGTGCGGAGCAGTGGGGACAGACTTCTCCGTGAGTGGGGTGGGGTGACTGGCCGCCCATTCAGAAGGCCAGACACGCACCAAACGTTAAGACCAAACCATAGACACGCCAGGAGAATGCACCAGAGCAGCGTCAGAATCTCGGAAGGGAAAATTCCCACCTGGGGCCACGTGCTAAATCCACGACGGGAAATCCTGACCAGTCTGACTGCAGTGTTTAAAGGTTGGTGCAAAGACACAAAAGTCTGGAAGAAAATGCTTGTTCTATGTATAATGTTCAAACGTTTACCAACCAGAATCTACAAAGAGATGACGGCTCAGAGCAGCGAGAACGTGGTTTTCAACGTTGAGTAGGAAAGTGTGTGAGGCGTGTGGACTCAGTTCATGAAGGAAGCAGAACGGATGCTGGGCGGGAGGAGACAGGCTGCGTGACGTGATGTGCCTGGGCCCGCGAGGCCTCCAGTCCTTCTGTTGCGTTGGCGTTCAGAGAACCAACTGCTGATAATTGTCCCCTGTTGGTTTTTGTTTTTTTTTAACTTATGCATTAATCTTTCCTCCTTCTGCTTCTACCGTTTTTTTTTTAAAGATTTTATTTATTCATTTGACAGAGAGAGAGAGCGCTCAAGCACAAGCAGGGGGAGCGGCAGAGGCAGAGGGAGAAGCAGACTCCCCGCTGAGCAGGGACCCCGATGCGGGGCTCAATCCCAGGACCCTGGGATCATGACCTGAGCCGAAGGCAGACCCTCAACTGACTGAGCCACCCAGGCGCCCCCACCTCTAACTTTTAGTGAAGTTCTTTTGTTGTTCTTTTCCTCGCTGCTTGAATTGCTTGCTTCACCTGTTCCGGGGCTTTTTCCTGATTTTCCAGCATTTAAAGTTCTGTCTTCACAGGACAGCTGCAGCCGGTGCGCCCTGCACCCTCGCTCATTTCTAAGTGAGCCGGCTCGCAGCCTTGATTTTCCCTTTCACTCAGGGGCAGATTAGGGGTGCTTCAGAAGATCCACCCCAATGTGCTTCTGCTGTTAATTTTCACTTGCATTGCCTTGCGGTCGCCCGATGTGACCCGGACGAGTCCCGTGTTGGCACATCTGTTTGGCTGGTGGCTGATGTGTGTGCTGATCTATTTGTTTGGTGAGAGCATGATTGTGCGTCAAAGAGGTGTGTGCGTGTTCTGTGTCTATTAGATCACTCTGCTTAAGCACTTAAATCTTTATTTTTAAAAATTTGGGCTGCTTTTATTTTTTTTTAAGATTTTATTTATTTGAGAGAGAGAATGAGAGAGAGAGAGCACATGAGAGGGGGGAGGGTCAGAGGGAGAAGCAGACCCCCCGCCAAGCAGGGAGCCCGATGCGGGACTCGATCCCGGGACTCCAGGATCATGACCTGAGCCGAAGGCAGTTGCTTAACCAACTGAGCCACCCAGGCGCCCCATATTTGGGCTGCTTTTAACACAGGTGCACACCTCACTGAGAACAACAGCTCTGCCCCAGCTCTTGGGGTCACAAACAGCCCGGCCCGGTGCCCACTGCTTCCAGCTCTCGCAGCTGTCCCCACTGCAAATTGTGATTCCAGATTCGGGGGCCTGTCCTCACTGTGCACACTCTCCTTGGGGACACCAGCCACGGCCAGAGCTGGTGCATCTCTGGGGATGAAGCCCCACGCCGAAAACACAGCTCTGTCCTCCTCAGAGCCCCAGGCATGCGGACAACGGCCCGTGGTTGCTCCGGGGCCCCACAGGCCACACTTGGGGGAGCCCAGAGGCCAGCTCTGTTCCCAGGGGGGCTGCCCCCCAAGGCCACTCATCCGGAGCACCCCGGCCAGCCCCCCTCTGTAGGACCCCAGTCCCTGGGCCCTTGGTCCCCCTACTTCTGGTTTACTCCCCTGTTTGGGTGGAGTGCCTCATCCAGTAGCTTCCTCGGGAGGGCCTGGGAGATGTTTGAGTTCTTGACTGTAAAGCTATTCAAATGTCTTTATTCTGCCTCCACACTTGCGTGGTGCTTTCGTGGGTGGAAATTCTCAGTGGAAAATCATGTTCTTTCAGGACTTGTAAGGTATTATTCTGTTGCCTCTAAGCCCTGCTGTTGCTGCGTGATACCCTAAACGGTGTGCGCCTCAGGTCCTTTGCACGTGTGCTGCGTGTCAATCTCTGCAGGTTTCTGGAATTCCCACACTACTCCTGGTGCAGGGGTTTCCCTTCCTGGTCTGGAGCCGTGTCCCCTCCGTCTCTGGGAAGTGTGTGTGTGAATTCATTTTCTCAGCTCTCTCTCCTTCTGGAAATTTGATTAGCTGGATGTCGGCCCACATGGTTGACTTTCCAGTTTTCACCATGTCTTCGTTTCTGGTGTTTGGCCAGTCCTTGCACTATCAGTCAGCATTTGTGTGGTGACGCTCTGTGACGAATTCCTTGAGCCGCAACCTCGCGCTTTTGCTCTCGCTCTCCGTCAGGGGTCTGAGGTCCGCAGGATCTGTGTGTCCTCGGCTTGCCCCCCAGTCTCAGAGGTCCTCAGGGGACGCGGCACCCATGGTGGATGGCGGAGACCTGAGAGGCGGGCTTCGGGCAGGTGCTCTGCTGACCCTGCCCCATGGGGGAGCAGGATACAGTGTAGTGGGATTAGTCTAGCGCTACCGCCGGGCAGGAGGGAGGGACCCCTCACCCCTCCACGCCTGCTAGGGAGCTTTCCGTGGGGACACCACACTTACGTGTTTAAAGAGTTCCGGCTTGCCGTCGGAGCTCTCCTCTCCCCCACCACCCCCTTTTCTGCTTCATGGACTCCTGTGTCTAGGAGAACAACAGGTATGGGGCGGGGGGCTCTTTCCTGTCCCCCGAGTCTCTCTCGTCCCTGGCAGAGGCCGCACCTTGGTCAGTGCTCGGGAGCGGAGGCCCCACGTGCGCAGGTGCAGCCTTGCTAGCGGCCAGGGGCTCGGGCTGGGCTGCGGCAGGTTTCTGGGGGCTCTGTCCTGGGCGCCGCACCCTCGGGTCTGTCGGGCTGCCCATCTCCCCCAGAAAGGAACCCTCCTCTGCTGGGAGGAGAGGGAGAATAGCCAGGCCCCGCGGATCTTGGTGCAGAGTGGCAGTGTGGGAAGAGGGCTGGGGACTTCACTTTTTTTTTTTTTTGCAGGAGTCGGGAAGGGAGGATGCTTGAACCACAGAAACGTATTGTCTCAAGGTCTGGAGGCTGGCAGTTCAAAGCCCAGTGTCAGCCGGGCTGGTTCCTTTTCCAGGCTTCCTCCTCGGCTTGTAGCTGACCCTCTCCTCTGTGTCCTTCACATCTCCTTCCCTGTGTGTGTGTCTCTGGGTCCTGATGTGCACTCTGGGGGGTTTGGCTTTGGTTTTGCTAATTATTTCTAAGTCTCAGCAGCATGAAGTATATTCACGTTGTTGGAAACAGATCTCCAGGACCTTTTTGTTTTGCAAATCTGATGCTGTCCCCATTCAACGCCCGCAGCTACTTCCTGTCCCTGTGAATCCGACTCCTCCAGGGACCTCCTATGAGTGGAATCACACAGGGTGTTTGTCCTTTGGTGACCTGCCTGTGTCACTCGGCATAGTGTCAAGGTCCACCCATGTTTCCTCCTTTTTAAGGCCGAATAATATGCCACTCTGTGGATTTACCACACTAGGTAATGTTGTCACCCATCAATGGCTGTTTGGGTTTTTCCACCTTTTGTCTGTTGCGGGTCATGCTGCCACGACCTGGGCATGCAATATCTCTTTGAGACCTGCTTTCAGTTCCTTTGGCTAAATACCCAGAAGTGGGACTGCTGGCTCATATGGGAATTCTAGTTTTAATTTTTTGAGGAATGGGGACTTTACTCTGCACTTGTCTTTATCCTCTATTTTTAGCGTGCCCCCCCATGGCATTCCAGACAGTGAGTGGCTGTCTCACCCCCCAGGAGGTAGCAGGGGATCCCCAGGGCTGGGCAGAGTCTGGGGGGCTCTCTGAGGGTCTTTCACAGACAACCCACCCGGGAAATTCTATGGCGGGTGGGGAGGGTGGTCCTACAGGGGTGCGGCAGGCTTCTGACCTTTCCCAGTTACTGACCTCTTTCCAGCTTCCTGCCTTGTGCTGACCACCCTCCTCCACTGGCCCCTTGCCACCTCGGTGTGTCCTCACGGTTCCTGTGGCTTTTTTTGACTTTAGAGGGCTTCGAGGAGGAGCGCCCCCCCACCCCACCTCTCCTGAGGCTCTCGCAGGCTCGGAGGACGGTTACTGCCTGCCGTCTCCTGGCCCCAGTGGGAAGGGCCGTGGCTGCTGTGAGGACTTCCCCGTGCAGGGCCCGACCCTCGCGCAGAAAAGCGGGCAGGGGGTCGGGCCTGCGTGTCCAGGCGCAGAGCCGCTGCCGAGAGCCGCCACTTGCCGCGGGTCGCGAGGCTGTAGGGCCCCGGCCCCTGGAGGCCGAGCTGGATCCTGGGGAGGAGCGAGCCCAGGGCTCGCCGTGCGGGGTGCAGAGGGTCGGCGGGCGCGGGACCCGCGGCGCGCAGCTGTGTCCAGCGCCGACCGCCTCCCTGTCCCCGCAGGTGTGCGAGCCGCCCGAGAGCAGGTGCCCGAACCGCCACTGGAGCGTCAGCATCGACGAGCGTCGGCGGCTGGCCACGCAGGGCGGCTGGGAGGAGCCGGGCACCAGCGGGCCAACCCCCTACTGCAGGGTGTGCGGGGGGCGGCGGGGGAGCGCGGGGCGGCTGGGAGCCGGGGGTGGGGGGGGTGGGGGGGTGGCGCGGGGATCCGGGACACGGGGCGGCTGGGAGCCGGGGGGTGTCGCGGGGATCGGGGGCGCGGGGCGACTGGGAGAGGCCGGGCACCACTACCCGCCCCCCGCCAACTGCAGGGTGTGCGGGGGGAGGACGCGGGGACGGGCTCGGGCGACACACGGCCCCTTCCCCGCCTCGGCGCCCCCCTCCCCCTCCCCCTTCCCGGCCCCGCCCCGCCCCCTGACCCCGTGGTTGCCCTCAGGACATCGCGCAGCTCGTGGCCCAGCTGGTGTCCGAGGACGTGGACAAGGACGTGCTCCTCCCCCACCCTCTGAGGTCTTCTGAGTCCGCCAACGCCTTCCACGCCTTCCTGGCCCGGAGCGCGCCTTTCTGGCAGACCGTGACTTTGGAGGCGCAGGTCTCGAGGTCACCACCCTTCCAAGAGCCGACTTAGCCCAGTGTCTGTCTTGCAGCGCCTTTCCTGGGGGTCCTGGGGTAGGCGGCGGCTGAGTCCTCTTCACCTCCGTCTGGGGGCTCGTGAGCCCAGGGATGAGAACACAGGCCCAGGAGGACCCTCTGGCTGCCCCTTCCTTAGAATGCGTGGCCCTGAGGACTTGGAGGCCACCTCAGGGAGGGGTGCCTTGCCCCAGCCCAGCCTCCAGGAGGCCACCGGGAGGGGCCTGGGGGACAGGGCAGAGTGGGGCTTTCCAGGAGAGCCCTCTGCCACCTGGAGAGCCTGCCTGCACCTTCCATCTGCAGCTGCGGATGGCCTGGGAGCGCGGAGGGGGGCATGATGGCTCGTGACCAACTCCTTTGCTGTTCCTCCAGGAGGATGGGGATTTTGAGGTCATGAACTACTGGATACTGATGCCCACCCAGCTTGGGGGCACTGGGTCTCATTTTGGGTCCTGCCTGTGGGAGGCCCAAAGGGGCATGCATAACCCCGGGGGAGCAGAAGCCAGGGGGTGCTGAATACAGAGGGAGGCTTCCTGGAGGAGGTGGTGCCTCCCCACCTCAACACAGTGGTTGGTGAACAGGCCAAGAAAGCAGTGTGGGCAGAGGGCATGGGGAAGCTGTGAGGAGCTGGCCCTGGGCCCACCGAGGTGTCTGCTTTTGGAGGTTGAGGGGTGGGCGGAAGGGTTCTGAGCCGGGGGTGACGAGGCGGAGCTGCATTCGCGGAGAGGAAGCTGGAGGGGAACTGGAAGTGGGAGGAGGGAAGGAGGGGGACGATGGCAGGCTCCCAGCCCTCAGGGGCCATGGAAGGACAGCCGCAGGGGGGGGGGTGCCATCCCCGGGACTTGGCCACTGACTCTCAGGGGCTCACGGGCTTCTGTGTGGGGGTAGCTGGCTGGAGGGGACTTTGGGCAAGAGGAGGTGACCAACCCCAGGTCTGGGTGAGGGCGGGAGCCAGGCCTGCACGCAGCTGGGCACCTGCCTACAGCGGCCTTCCTCGGTCCCAGAGCCTGCTTCTGAGAGGCTGCTGGCCCACAGGCCAGTGGATGTGTCCCGAGGGGGGCGAGGTTTAGGCCCCCTCCCCCTCCTCCTTAGGGACCCTGCTGAAGTGGGGGGTGGTTGTCGTGGGCCAGGCTCCATGCTGGGCAGGAAGTCCCCCACCCCAACTAGCGCTCACAGTGCAGAGTGGGAGCTAAAGTGCCAACAGTCAGGGTAGAGGTAACAAGGGCTTTGGAGTTCTTTGTCACGGAGTGGCTTTAAAGGACTCCCATGTTGTCACTAGAGATCCGGAGGTTCACCGGGCTGACCTACCAGTTCTGGTCTCGCTTGGGGCCGGTCATGAGGCTGCAGTCAGATGGTGGTGAGTCCAGGATGCCCGGATGGCCAGCCCTCTGCCTTTCACGCGCTCTCGGCGCCTCCGCCCAGCAGGGAGCCAGCTGCCCGGGGGGCCCAGCACCCAGACCTCGCACCATGGCGGCGGAGCAGAGAGGCCTGGGAGGGCCGAGGCCCCAGCCGGGCAGCATCCTCTGCTGCCTCCTCTGTGCTTACCGTGGCCTCAGGACCAGCCCGGTGGCCTCCTCTGGTAGAGCGCGGTGCCCAGGACAGGCGTCACTCACCAGCTGGGGACGGATTTGCTGTCACCGGGAGGGCTGGTTTCTACTGCTGCCCCAACCAGCCACCGCCGCAGACTTCATGTCCTCAATTTCCCTGGCTGGGGGCTCTGTAGAAGTCCAAAACAGACCTCCCAGCCTAAGAGCAGGCCGTGGGCAGGGCTGCCTGCCCTTCTGGAGGCTCTTGGGGAGAATCTGTTCCTGGCCTTTTTCAGCTTCTGGAAGCTGCCCGCTCTCCGTGGCGCAATGACCCCTCCCTCCGCCTTCAGGGCAGCGTCAGCCCCCTGCCCCCCCCCCCCCCCCCCGTCACGGCTGAGCAGTCCTCCTGCCAGCACATTCGCAGGTTTGGGGTGAGACGTGGACATCTTCTGGGGGGCACTGTGCCTTCCACAGGGGCTCCTGGCATCGCTGCTTCACGTCCACAGAACACAGGACTGCCCCCAACAGCCAAGGATGATTGGGCCCCAAATGGGAACAGTACTCCCGCTGAGAGTCCCAGGAAGGGAAGAGGGTCCACCCAGCAGACAGAGTGGGCGTCAGCAGGACGAGCAGAGAGGGAGAGTCTGGGGTCAGCGCCAGTCTGGCGAGGACATCACCTGGGCCACCCCCGGCCGTGGACACTGCAACGCCCCCCCGTGTCCACTCTGCCTTATTTTTTTTTTCTTTCTTTTTTTTTTTTTAAGATTTTATTTATTTGATAGAGACACAGTGAGAGAAGGAACACAAGCAGGGGGAGTGGGAGAGGGAGAAGCAGGCTTCCCGCAGAGCAGGGAGCCCGACGCGGGGCTCGATCCCAGGACTCCCGGACCATGACCTGAGCCGAAGGCAGACGCTTAACGACTGAGCCACCCAGGTGCCCCTTTTTTTTTTTATTTCTTTTGAGCGAGTGCAAGCGGGCATAGGGTCAGAGGGAGAGAGAATCCCAACCAGACTCCCCCCTGAGCACAGAGCCCGCCCCCACAACCCTCACCTGAGCCGAAATCAAGAGCCAGACACTTCACCGACTGTGCCCCCCCAGGTGCCCCCCATGTCCATTCTTCACTGCCCATTCCCTCCCTTTCAGCCAGGTGGGTCTCTCCTCAAGCTCCAGGAGGAACAACACACCTCCCCAGGACTCTCAGAGACATCCCCAGGTGGGGGGCCATTTGGGGACATCCCTGGGTGCTCTGGTGGCAGGGCAGACAGTGTCCCACATGCAGGCTTGCCCGGGCTGGCTGCATGATGTCCCTCGTGTCCTAGCACCTGCCTGTGCTCACAAGGGAGGCCAGCCTGGAGCAGGGAGCAGAGAGCAGGAAGGAGAGGAGGAAGGGAGGTGTGTGCTGGGGGGTGTCGTCTGCGTCCTCCCGAGCGAGGGCCAGCAGACGACCACGACCCAGCACTGCCCCAGCTGAAAAAAATGACTTCGTGGGCTTTGCAAGAACACACTCACTATTCAACAATCCAACACTGAAGTTTTAAAAATCTCGCCCACAATTTCATCAAGATAAGGCTGTTGACATTCGGAGAAGGTTATCCAGGTATTTCTAGAGACCGAGGCAGTGAGGAGCGAGCATGTGGAAATACAGAATAAGTACAGAGCTCCTCCCTGCAAATTTAAAAAATTTTAATTTTAAGGGAAAACATGATTGCTGAATTAGACGAATGCGTCTTCACCCCAAGTTTAAAAGCTTCTCCTAAGATTATTTTTAGAAATTGCAAAAATCAAGGGACAGTGTCACGTGGCTTTGGCAGCCATCTCCCCTCAGACAGCCTTGGCTGACGTCCCACTTCAAATGCTGAGGAGCTGACGCCCCCGCCCGCCGAGACCGTCATTCCCGCTCGGGGCTGGACTGGCCTCAGGCCTGCACCCACCAGCCCCCCCGCGCCGCGCAGGCCGTGGGGAGCTCGCCACCCCCACGTGGCCGCTCAGTCTTTGCTTTGCTTGTATCCTCACTGGCTTTCCGTGAAAGACTTTGTCCCTCGGCTTACAGACGTTTGCCTGCGGCCCTTAGACTTAGCCGGGGCGGGCGACCCGTCCTACCTTAGCCGCTGCTCGCTTTCCCCCGCCGAGCCGGCTTCGCACACTGAGCGCTGGGCAGGAATGCGGGCCCAGCGGCGGGTCTGTCTTGCACGTGACCTGCTCTTTCCGAAAGCCCGGTGACTCAGGCGAGATGGGCCTCAGCACAGATGCCGCTCAGTCGGGATTTCTGGAACGGCGTGCGGGCCCCTCGTCCTCGGACTCACTTGCAGATTTCCGAATGCTCTGTCTAGTGCTGTGCCTTGGGCGCTGTGTGCTTCCCTGCGTGTCCTTGCTCGCCTCCTCTCAGCCCTCACCATGCAGCCGCCAAGGGGTCCCCCGAGGAACGGTCGCTCGGAGCCCTCAGTGTGGCCCCACGGGGCGCTGCGCCCATACAGGACCATGGTCCCCCCAAGTGGCCGCCACCCCCACCACGGGCCCCTCCTTCCCCAATGCCCTGATCTCTCTCAACATCCATGCCCCTCAGTATGACCTCCGTCCCCTTGCCCTCCTCCTTTTTGGCATCCAGATATTATTTACGACCCACCAGCCGGCACGCTCCCCCAGGGCAGAGACCCTGTCTCCCCACCCCCTGCCCCGTCTAAATAGTGTGGTATGAAGCAGGTGCTTAACAAGTCATAATTGAATGAATAAGTTATTGTTTTACTTGCTTTGTCTCGCCCCCAAATCATCTCCAGCCTTTCCCGCACTGGTAATCCAACATTCTGCCCCTTGCTGTTCCTGACTTATTCTAGCAATGGTGTGATTTTGAGGAAACGTGTTTCCTCAGCTCTTAACTCTCACTCCCATCCTGCTGTTTTGTCATCCAGTACTGGAGCTTCTGATGACTGATGACATGTGTGGACCACGTTCCCATGGCCTCTGGCACTCCTGCGGGGTTTCCACTGGCCCCTCGCCCCCTCCCTCCTCCAGTTTCTCTGTTGTTGGATATGTGGAGGTGGCTGGAGGTGGGTGGAGGTGGCCGCCAGGCCTTCATTCCTGTTCTGACGCGAGGAGCCATCTCCTGAACGTCTTTTTGCCCTGCTAATAAATGGATGGATTCCTAAGTCTCTTTTGCAACCCATCTGAGATCTATTGACTGCCTCAGAGCAGGGCAGGGTGCTGCATGCAATGTCCCCTTTCTTCTTGTTAGTCTGGAAAGGGGAGAAAGCAGGTCCCAGCCAGAGCCGCCGGGCTCGGTGGGGTCCCAGGTCTTAGTAAATGTCACTCTGCTTTGTGAGGAGCGTATCCCTATCCTTCCTGGGGAAGCTTGGGGTCTGGATGTCTTCCCTGAGACCCTGGACCCCAGCGGCCCTGCTGCCCACTCCCCAGCCGCACTTGTCCTCTGTCCCCATCGCAGGGAGGAAGTCAGCCTGCACCTTTCAGTCGGCTTCCCTCCTCAGGACGAAGCCCATCCTGTCTCTGTGATGGAGGCAGAAGCAGGCACTTCACAAGGCATGATGTTTCGGGCTCTCTCCACGACTAAAGGCTGCCCGGGTGTTTTTTGATAGATATAACTTTTTGGTCAATTACTGAGTACTGGAAGATTTTATGATGTAGCATCACCGTCCAGATGAGGAGGTTTGGGGTTCAGGCCAGGGCCTTAGGAAGGGGGCCTACGGGGAAGGAGGGACACCACTCCACCACCACCTGCCCGTTCGGAGAACCTCCTCAACCCGTTCACCCCTTGCCCTGTACCTAAACCCCTCCTCCCCTCTCCCCTTCCAAAGACCGTCAACCGCCGCTCCCTTGGCTGCCCTTGCTCAGACAGCTGGTGGCCCGCTCTTCATGGTGGGCATTTCCTTTTCCGGAGAGCTGGGCTGCTCGACAGCCTGTGGTTGCAGCCCACTGCCCTCCTTGGAACCCCTGGCTTTTACCCCAGCACCTGCTCTGGGCTCCTGCCCACATTCCTAGTCCCCCGTAGGGACCTGTGGGTTCTGTCCCTGCGGGCCTCCCCCACCGCTGGGGAGCCCTGTCCCCTGGATGCTTCCCTTCTTGCCCCATAGGTATGTCCCTCAACATCATCTCCTCCAGCCACACACCTGCCCCCTCTGAGGAAAGGGCATTAACCCACGGTAGTGCTCAGACCAGCAACTGGGAGCCCAGACACTTCCTTTTTCTTGACCCCCAGCAGTGATGTCCCTTCGGGCTCCAAACTCTGGCTGGGGCCTGCTTCTCCCCCCCCCCCCGGGTGGGATTCCACCCCTCCACCTCATGCTCATCCTGGCTGGGGCCACCAGTCTTGCCTGCTCCACAAGGGTGTCCTCTGGGAGCGGCACCTCCGATCCTCTGGCTTTTTCATCCGGCCGCAGTTCAGGGAGGCTGCACCAGCTGGGGAACTAGCCCACATGGAGGTGGCTGGGGGCACCCCCACTGTCCAAGCATGGCCACCGGGGCTGGGCAGTAAGGGCCGGGACAAAGACCCCTGGGCGAGTGGAGAGAGCCAGGCCTGGAAGGGAGGTGTGGAGCAGGGCCGTGTGGCCAAGGCTGGGCAGCTGAGCTTCCCTTCAGTGGGGGACTTGGGAGAGCCACCCTCCCCGGGGAGGGGAGAGTGGGACCAAGGGGTTAGGAGGCCCTGGAAAGGACTCCGGACCAGCGCGGGGGGTGTGATGAGAACCACTGCGGGAAGGGGCATCAGGGATGCTGGCGGGACCCAGGGGTGGAGGCACAGGGAGGACCCACCTGGAGGGAGGGGGCGTAGGGTGGGGGTGAGGACCCACCCGGGGAAAGGCGCCGGACGCGCCAAGGAGCCCCAGGCACGGGGAAGACCTCGGGGGGGTGCAAGGACCCACCCGGGAGGGGGCGCTTGGGGAGGGCTCACCCTGGCAGGCGCGCGCGGAGGCGCGGGGAGGGCCGGCGGGGGCTCCCGGAAGGACGCGCCCGGGGGAGCGCGCAGGGCCGACCGCCGGGGGCCGGGCGCGCGGAGGGCCCACCCCGGCAGGGGCGCGCGGAGGCGCGGGGAGGGCCGGCCGGGTAACGGCCGCGCGGTGGGCGGTGGCGCCCGAGGCCCCTCCCCTGCCCGCGGCCGCTCCTCCTCTTCCTCTCCCGCCCGCGCCGCGGCCCTCGGTCCCTGCGCGGCCTCGGCGGCCTCGGCGGCGGCGGCGGCGGCGGCCCCTTTAAACCGCCCGCCCCCCGCCCGCGCCCGCGCCCGCGCCCGCGCCCCGCGCCCCGCGCCCCCGCGCGCCCGGCCCTCCGCCGCCGCCGGCCCGGACATGGCCGCCAACATGTACAGGGTCGGAGGTAAGGCCGCCGCCGCCCGCCGCCCGCCGCCCGCCTTTATGCCCGCGGGCCCGGCCCGGCCCCCGCCGGCCGCCCCCGGCCCCCGCCCCCAGCCCGCCGCCCCGGGCCCGCGCCATCCCTCCGCCGCCCCCCGACAGCCGGGCACCCGTCACCGCGGCCCGGGCCCCCGGCTCGTCCCCCCTTCCCCCACTCTCCTCGTCTCCTCCCCCGCCCGCCGCGCCCGCCGCGCCGGCCGCACGGCCCCCCCGCGGCCCACTTCTGGTCCCCTGCCTCCACCTCTGCACCCCTCCCCCGCCGCAGGCCCGCCCCAGCGCCGACCATCCTCCTCCCACCCCCGCGGCCCCCGCCTGCTGCACCCCCGCCGCCTTCCCCTTCCCGCTCCATCTTCTCTGAGCAGCCTGCTTCTCCCCCGCCGCCTCGGCCCGGCCCTGCTCGCCCGGCCCGCAACCCGAAATGGCCCCTGGCCGGGCCCCAGGGGGGGCCAGCGGGCGCTGGTGGCCGAGCGGCTCCAGGGAGGGGGAGGGGGCGCTCTGCCCACCTGTTGGGGCCCGACGCAGGAGCGGGGGGACACGCTGGGCAGCACGGAGCATCCTTGGGCCTGGGGGCCGAGCGCTGGGGCCGGGGCTGGCCTGAGCCCCCCACTCCCCCCAGCTGAAGCACATGGCCTTGGGAGGTGCTGGCTGGCCTCCTGGGACCAGGATTCCGGGCGAGCCCGTGCTCTGGGCCACAGTCCTCCCCGGGAGCCCTCAGCAGCTGGCCGGCCCACCCCGAGCACACTGCTCATGCACCCCCAAACTTTCCACTACCTCCTGTTGCCCCAGCCCAGCAAGGAGGTGCTTTGCAAGGGTTGGGGAGAGGGAAGGAGCCCTGGGTGGGGGCGGGGGTGGTGCTGAGTTGGCTGGGGCCCTGGGGGCTTCCCTCACGTCCTCCTTTGGTTTGGGTCCTAGGAAGCCCCCGGCTTTGGGCCTTGCCCCACTTTGTTCCATGGGGTCCTGGGCCGGTCCTCAGTTGGCTCGTCCACAGGGAGGTGGGGTACCCTGACTGTCCCCCTTTTCCATTGGTGCCTACCGTCTCTGAGACTTCAGACGCTCACTGGCCCTCCTCTGGCGGAGTGTGTCAGGGGTGAGAACCCTCTAAGTCATCTCTGTCCCATTCTACCCTCCTCACTGGCTGGCTGGCCCCCCGAGAGCCTGGGACTCACATCTTCAGCCAGCCAGGCCAGCCTTGTGACCTTGGGCTTGCCCTCATCTGTGTAGTGGGTCAGCACAGCACCTGTCTGTCCGTCAGGCTCTCCCCCGCCCTCTCTGGCTCAGGGGCAGTCATGGGAATGGGGGCCTACACCCCATTTAGCAGCAGGCCCCTAGTGGACAGATGCGGGCAGTAGGCAGGGGTGTAGGGGCCCTGCAAGGGAGGGGCTGTTCATCTCCCACCTTGGGGGCAAGGCGGGAGTGTCACCACAGGGGTCCCTTCCCCAACACACTGTCAGGGAGGCACCTTGACAGATGCCCAGACCCCAGGGGTGACTCACCTGCCTCCATCCCAGGAGCCCCCCTTCCCCCCACTGCTGTGGCTCAAGGGCTCCTCCCTGTCTCATAGGCAGTCCCTCCATTCTGTTCCCCCTCTACGTGCCCGCCTGGAACCACCTTTCTGCAGTGCAGAACACCTCTTTGCTGGTGGGAGGCCACGGCTCCCACTGACTGTGACAGGGCCCTGCAGGTCCCCAGCCACACCTGGTCCCCACGTGCTGTCTGGGCCAGGAGGTTCGTTGAATAAATGAAGGCATGATCCTCAGAACAGGGGCACCCAGCTCCTGGAGGGAGACGAGAGAGGGGCCTGGCAGGGTGGTGGGCTGTGGGCCCCTGGGCCTCGCCTTCCCTGCACGGGGCTGGCAGCCCTCCACTGGCTCCCGCCTTCTGGGGTCGTGGGCTTGAGCAGAGCCCCCACCCAGGCCATAGGCCTCCTTGCTGTGTGGGCTGTGCTGCTTGGCTTTTAGGCCTGTCTGCCTGAGAACTTGGCGGGGCCTGACCACCCCCCGGACCTTCCTTGCCTCAGTTTCCCACAGTGGACAAGGATCTCCTCCAGGAGAGGTCTGGCCTGCCCCACATCTGCTGGTCCCCCCTCTGAGCTCCGCAGGTGTGACCACAGGCTCCCCCTCGGAGCGCCCTACGGGTCTCTGTAGAGGAAGCTGCGTTGACTCGTGGTTTGTGGATGGGGACTCGGGGGCCTGGTGGGGCTGGTGGTCATGGTGGGTGGGGAGTGGGCCGGTTGGCATCCTGCCCTTCGGTGCTGCTTGCTTAGGGAAGGGGCGCTAGAACACGTGCCCCTCTCTCAGCTGATTGCGGCCCGGGGTTTGGCCCCGTCTGGGCAGCTCTGGTCTGGGGGAGTGCTGCAGGGATGTTCTGAGAAGGGGACGCCCCCCCACCACCTTCTTATCTCCACTCAGGCCCCTAAGAACTGAGCCTTTTCCGAAGGTGCCGGATTCGGCAAGGAAAGTAAAGGACGCCAGCTAGATGAGAACGTCACATAAGCGATTCCTGAGTCTAACTCCGTCCCAAATATCGCAGAGAACATACTTAGGCTAGAAAACCCATAGCAGCAATCCGGCGTTATCTGGGCGTCCTGCATTTTACCTGGCAGACTGCTCCGAGGCCCTGCCAGGATGCCTGGGCGGGGCAGAGGCCGGGTGGCCGCCTTGTGCCAGCTGACCAGCGGGGTGGAGTGGGTCAGCCTGGGAGGGGACGGGGCCTGCTGCTTCCCAGGGAAGTGACCTGGCTGCCGACAGAGGCCTTCTGTTGGCGGCTCCGAGTGCGGCAAGGCGGGGCCCGGCTGTGGGCGGCAGG